TATACTCATAGCCCAAATTCGGAGCCACGTGATTGTTTGTGCGCTGTAAACAAGCCATTTGTTTGTTTGAGTCTTGCATTTGAAATTCGCGCGCTTGCGAAAGAACACGTTCAACTCGTGAAACCTGACATGTTCGTCGTGTTTTTTGGCGCTTCCTCCAGGACACCTCATAAAAACGATGTCCCCGTTGCTTCTAACTCCAAAAACGAAGTCCAGTTTGACCCCAAACCATCGGTGCCGGGCCCTGGTTCCAGGTGCAAGCTGATTTCTCTGTTGGTCCATCCGTTTCAAAAACACGTTTGCCCATCTTGTTGCTGGCCTTCCTCGCGGACGTTTTACTTCGCTAGGAATCCACTCCGTGTTCTTAAAGGCAGTGTCCGGGTAAGGTGAGGGTTTTAGGCTTCAGTGCCATGCGGAAGTGGCCCCTCAGAACATCGCGCAAGTGCGAGGTCATAGCGCTCGACCTAAAGCAAGAAAAACGACGGAAGATGGGAAAACTTACGCCTAGGGGCGGGGTCCTCCGATCTGTCCGAATTCCTGCTATGCGGTAGAGTACACATGCCGCCACAATCAAAATCGTAGGGTCCCGCAGTGACTCTGCGTCTCTGCATTGGTGGGGACGTCGAATTTCAAATTGTGCTGCTTTGGAAAACGTATGTTCTCGCCGTTTTCGCGCCCTCTAATGTGGATTTTCGGATTCAGCGTTGCGGATAACCCCCGGCAAGTGGATTTTCTGGGAATCGAGTGTTTTTGCCCGGACACTGCCTTAATGTCATTCTGTCGTCTGTTCTTCTCATGATGTGGCTGGCCTTTGGGTGTTTCGCTTTCGCAACGTGTTTCGCTGGATCACGAATACAAGACCAAAATACACTACGGTGAAGATACTTAATAAGCTGCCTTCCAGTTCCATTTATGCTTCTTCGCAAAGCACTTTGGCCATGGACTGAGTCTTCTTTCTCATTTGTTTAGTTCCTGCAGAATCGTCTCTGCGCCAGTGATACTGCTCGAAAGAGTGCGATGTTGTCCGAAAATTAAGGTTCGGTAGAAAATCCCATTAGTTCGTATGCCTCTCTCGTTTCAGTCTTGTGATTTCATCACCCACTGCAACTCAGACAGTCGAAGGGATACCTCCGGCGGGCATATGGCGCGAGTCTGCGCCACTTCGCGCTCCGGAGCCCAGCCATTTCACGCATTCTTGTGCTCCGGGGCTCTCCCAAAAGTGGCGCACCTCCGGAGCAGAGATTTGCGCGTCGCGGAGAGGGGTCCCATTCATTCACCGTGACGTCACGGTGACGTCACAAACAGGACAAATGGGCTGAAGGCTGAAGCGAATGATAATAACAGAAAAGATTAAGAACAAGCTATTTTTTCATCTTTCTGAACATGGCCATAGGTGGACCGAATCCAGCTAGTAGTTGGTATGGATCTAGCTAGTCGATATGGATTAAGGATGAAGTAAAATTTCTTTCACTTACACGAATAGGAGCGGCGTCTTTATCAGCAGAGCGGTAGAATGCGAATGCTTTGTCTATCTCGCAACTATGATATAATCAGAACATCACAAATTATATTGAAAACTAAACTATCCCATAGCTTCGTGCGACACTCTCGCATCGCAATAGCGCAGCCCGATATGTGCGACTTTCTCGCTTTCTCCCGTTCATGAGGAATCTCCTTGATGATCTTCCACCACCTCATACTCTTCACTTTCAATATCCATAGTGGCGTAAGTTGTTTCTTGTAAAATCGAGCAAAGGCTTTTGACAATCTTCTGCTCTTGGTGTGCGCAAAACATCGCAAGAACTAATTTCAGAGGGAAGCTATCACCATGTGCCAAGAACATAGTGCAAATAGCAAAGCCTCCTCTGTCATGACATACACATACAGGGTGTCCCAAAAAGATGTGCACACTGTTTAATCGTCAATAACTCTCTAGCTTTTAGGTCTTTCGTCAAGCTTGAGGTACCATTGTGTAGAGCGAGGTTCAACTTAGATTCATAGTATGGAGCGAACTGTCAACTGCTCTTCATTACTGTAGGATTACGGTAGGAACTTCGGGGAGGATTTTAAGCCATTAAAAGCGGTACATTGCTTTAGAAAAAAGCCAAACAGGCTAGAAACTTTTCAATGGGTTAATCGAAAGCGCTAATTCTAAATATAAGAATTGCACTTCAGTACAGTGCTTCTTTCATAAGTAATTTCAGATTTAGGTTGACAACTGTTTTTCCAATGTTCGTCAAAAATGTGAATACGTCATCAAAAAAGCTTGAAAAACTGGTGGAAAGCTTTGTAGTAAAATCAGCACGCTTGAAAACCTTGCTACACAAATTTTTAGAATTTTCAGAAGTTATTTCATCGAAAGGCCTATTTCACAGTGACGCTGTATGCTGAAAGTTCATACCGTAATCCTACAGTAATGAAGAGTGACTGGTGATTCGTTCCATACTATAAATCTAAGATGAACCTCGCTCTACAGAATGATACCTAAAACTCGGCAAAAGACTTGAAAGCAAGGGAGTTATTAACGATCAAACAGTGTGCACATCTTTTAGGGACACTCTGTATATGAGTACACACATGATATACACATATACCATTTTCTTGCTTAACATGTTCATTTGTACATTCTAATAAGACCAGTACCTCTAAGGCCCCGCGCAGAGTTCACGCAACTTGATCGTCGCGATTTAATCGCGACAAGTCAACTGTTACATTTCATTGCATGCCGACTACTTGCATTTCGGTTGTGATTTTTCCAGTCCGAAATTTTAAATGTAAAATGAAAATGAATTTAAATCGCCGCGATTGAATCGCAACGACCAAATCGCGTGAACTCTGTCCGAGGCCTAAGAGACTCAAGATTATTCTTGAATCGTACTTTGCTTTTGGATTGACTGAAAAATCTTATTCAAAAATGCTGCTTCAAACTCCACATTCTCTACCGAAAGGCACCTTAGCATATTGTCACCCACATGCAAGACCTTATTCCGATCTGTTCACATCAGCGGCTAAAACTTTTGTAAAAGATAAGTTGTGGAAAATCCAGCTTTTCAGCAGTAAAATATAATCTGGAGTCTGTGCGTCAAAGCAAACATATTTCTTAACTTGCAAAAATGTTGAAGAGAAAAACGTGTCGGACCTTCGACTGTCTGCTCCATAGGCTCCGCGCTTATCCGCACCACGATCACAAATATTTGTTGCAGATCCTACTTAACGAGACTTGACATATTAACGGGAAACCGAGGCTCTTAACACAACTCGTTTAAAAAATCCGCTTGGCAGATAACGGATGCAGCTTCAAGATCAGCGTTTTACGCTGATTCAGATACCTACAGCTTACCTCGACTGGCCTTTTCCTGTTTGGTTCCGTCCGAGGCAAGCTCGGAAGCGCTCCGCGCCGGAAGACAAATGTGAAATGAGATCAAAGAAGTGTGGCCCTTTTGGGCCTCTTAAACGAAATCTGCTTGAGAATGGACGAAATGGGAGTGAAAGTTGAAGGTCTGCAACTACACCACCTTTGCTTTGCTGATGAATCCATTGATTAGTGATCGTGCGTGATGTTGATCCATCTATGGATGCGAGCATCACGCAGACGGAACAAGCTGGCCCCATCTGACTACTTGCAAAGTAAAAAGAGCCTAGCCTTCCATGTGACAAAGACATTCATGAGGAAAGGAAGGGTGCTCAATGCTCCTTCCACGCTCAAAGGAAGGCAACATACCGGATGCTCACCTACCTAGGTCGGGATATCATTATAATTGACGATCCGACTGAGCAAGAGAAAACTGCAGCTCAAGGAGCATTCAAGTAAAACATAACAATAGAGCCCGTAGATGAACGGAGACATCACTAGTACCCGCTCGGCGCAACATGACGATCAACGGGGATACGGGTGATCTGGAATGCAGGTGATGGTTGCTCTGTATCACGCTAACTCCAGTTACAAAAGGTTGTAATGTTTGTAATTTTGTAGTAATTTCTTATCCATGGAAGTGTCATAAGCCGAATGTTCCTGTCATATTTTGCAACAATGGCAACAGAAGCGTGATTGAGACTCAACATGATTTGTCTATGTTGTGCTGGTCCTCACGTGGGTTTTACGAAATCACAAAAGTGCAATGCGTCTAACGGGGCCAGCGCCGCTGGTACAGTCACACACCTGCGCGCTAGCGCTACCGCATGCTCAGCGTGCAGGGATCATGCCGCGCAAAGCGGCGCAGTCCTTGTTTTAGTTACTCTTCCTCCGTCATTCTTAGCTTATTCTCTTTCGCTTCCAAGCAGCTTCTGAGCTTTTTCTGTAAAACTCTACTTCAGTGCTTCCTGAGACCTCTTAAAGTATCATCGCGCAAATGAAAGACAAAATGGAGGTTTGAGGTCTTTCAAAAGAAGGTGTAATCTAAATCATTGAAGAAACTTCTGAGAACAACTGGTGCTTTTCCTCCCTACAGCTAAAGGTGAATATCGTAAGGTGTAAGTATATCTTATAGGTTGAGAGAACAGCTTGTGTGAACAGCACGTTGGCGCTGCTCACTCAAGCGTAAACGATTTAACGACTATGTGTTTGAAACACGAGTCGATATGATGAACACGGAATCAGCCTTCCGAAGAAGGCCCGGTTGAAATAATAGGTGTCATTCAAGGACTTGACACCTTTCTTTGCTGCGAAAAAATCGTGTCCGGTATCAAGGCAGGTTGCATATGAGTATAGAAACAAAAAAAAAATGACTCCGCTGCTACAAAAACGAAAAAATACGAGAATGACAAAAACAAGACCCGCGATGTTGTGCGCAGCATTGTCCCGGCTGTGCCTACGGTAGCGCTCGCGCGTAGATGTGTGACTGCATCTACGCGCGAGCGCTACCGTAGGCAGCCGACTGCATTACGCGGCGCTGGCCCGTTACACGCATTGTAGAAATTAAAAACAAAATATGCTTGAAAGTTTATTATTACAAGTACAATACATTGTGAGTTTTACGGAAAAGTGCGGCAAGTATTCTGGTCTCCAGGAAGCAAGTGTTTAGAGTCCTTTAGAATCTTGTAAATAGTAATATCGTAACTTAGCCTGAATTAAATGACACCTTAGCCTGAATTGAAATGACCCTTGATGCATTAGAAAACAGACCCCCAAAGTTTTGCTTCCAAAGTCCCGCTTTACAATTGTTCTCACAAATTCACAGAGAGTACTAACGATGTTTACTCACTAGCTAGTCGCCTTTAAGTCCTTTTGTCTATTCTAATCCTTTTACCTTCATGTCTTCGGGGAATAAATCATGCATGAAAGCCGGTTGAGATCGCTGAAAATCGCATTCAATTCATGAGTTTCCTTCTACTACTCACGATGGAGTATTCGGAGTCCAACTCTGCTGCTCTCCTCTTTCTTTTACTGCTATCTCTACGTCGACTCTCTTCTGTCTTCGGGTATCGGCGACACATCGAACAGCAACCGAAGCAGCAACAGCAGCAAAAGCAGCAAGTAAGTACACCCACGCACATTACAAGTATCTGCAGAGTCAAATCAAGCCATCACTAAACTCATGTGCCAACTAAATGGGAAGTTCCGGCTAAGTCATTGTATAAGCGGCAGCTCGTAAAATCGTTTGTGACCGAAAATTTTGATTTCAGCCTGATTTCTTGTCCAGTCTCTACACCTTTGAGCTGACAGTCAAGGATTACTCGTGTGCGCTGATTGGATTGGTGCTAGGAAAGAGCAGTCGTGGAAGGGATTTAGAATTGAACTACCAGTCACGATTGAGCCGTAGAGCTGCTGCCAAACTAGTTAGTGGTTCGGCAAACTGAATGCTTGTCAAATTTTGGTGTTGGTAGGCAGTAGACCCTCCAAGCACCCATAGCCCCATTCCTTCTTTCCATTTCTGCGCTGAATCCCAAAAATGCGCTATAAAATCATACCACTGGCGCTCAAAGAAAGTGGGCGTGGTGCTGAAACTACGAGGAACTTCAAGATCTGATGCATGGAGGTCGAGGTTAAGGTATACTTACGGGGTCAACTAGTTTTTACTACCAAAATCTGACATGGGTCCTTTTGCGGAGTCACTAAATTACACTAAACCTGAACCCACTTTAGAAGCTGCTTTCAACTGCCTTCAAATAGTACTCACTAGCCATTTTGAAGACCTAGCAAAATCTGCCATATACTGCTGTTGGTCTTCATCATAGTGCTCGGCCACATCCAGACCCATGGCACCAAAACGATCGTAGATGGCTCGTTTATTTGGATCAGATAGAATAGTGTACGCTCTTTGCACTTGTATGAACTGCAAACTGTATAATGAGCGATGAATGTGACACTTCACATCGTACCCTTTGTTTGCTCCGTTCACTGCCATCGTTCTTGTCCGGATGCCAAATACGTGCTTGCTCATGGTACGCTGCTTTGATTGTCGTTAATGACGCCTGCCGTTCTACTCCAAGAATGCGGTAATAATCAACAAAGAGGATTTCAGCTGGGTTGTTCCTGGAAAAAAATGCTTGGAATCAGAATAAATCGCCATGAATTGGCTATTAGCGACAATGATGCTGAGGGTATACCGGTCCCCGCTGTCCGGCTTTAATCAGGAATCGCCATTTACAGACTATTCGGCAATCGCCCTGTGAGGCAAGAGCACGGTTTGGTGGGTTTTCATGTCGGGGAAAAATCTAGCAAGAAGAAAAAAAGAAACTCTGCACCTAGACTAGACCTCCTCCCCCCCCCCCCTACGGCGCCGGGTGGTAACAAGATTGACGTCAGGGCTAAGGGCGTCATTTGGATAGGACAAAAACGACATGTGCGGGACGGCACGCCATGGAGACCGCCTTATGCTCTGACCTGCAACTCCAGGGCAGTCTCCATAAACGCTAACCTTCACCCTCTTCTCGCCGTTGCAGAACATGACGTCAAGTACCACGTTATCACTCTGCAGGAAACGAAGTCCAGGAAGAAGGATGTGCGACAGATGAGAGATGGGGCACTCATCATTCGTGTGAGAAGGTTCCATCACGAAACGTTGGAGACAGCTTTGTCGTCCACCCATCAATCGTCCATCTTGTCGATTTGCATATTCTGTCAGTTCGAATAGCCATCCTACGACAACGACCTCCACGTCAGAAGACCATCAGCATCATCAGCTGCTACTCACCAACATCAGCACTGACGAGAGAACTAGATGCTTTCTACGAAGACTAAAGGCGGTCGTCCGCAACGATAAGTCCCTCTACAAGTTCGTTGTGGGCGACTTTAACGGTATAACTTTAACGGTGACTTTATCGGTATGCCACTAGAAGAGGATTATAGGATCGGGAAGATTGGATATGGGCTCCGGAACGAAGACGGCAACCGTCTTCTTTGAGACCTCTCCACTGCACGACTTTTCAATTTGAGACACTATCGTCATAAAGAATGAACATCGCCGTAAACATGGGAGTCACCCATCGAAACGACCTACACCGGTATGGATCCCATCTTCATCAACCGAAGGTGGAGCTTGCTCGATGTCTTAATAGTCCATACTTCTGCAGTGCCTCCGATAGCCGCCATATTCGGGCGCACGGTCAGTCGGATGGAGAAGAAGAGCTGCTATAGCGTCGCGAGAGAGAAGCCGTTTATGACGGCGACAGGCTGGAGCTTATTACCAAATTGTGAGTGACTGGTTTATCGAGGAATACCCAAACAGTATAAGTACAAACGGCTCTTGGAAGGATTGCAAGCCTACGGGAATGTGCCTCAACGACTTGTGAAGAGAACTTGCAACGCCTTCGAAGAGGGTGGAGGAACGAACACCTTAAATAGGCACCGCCTCCGCGAACTGCTGGCCCTACGATGCACAACAGTACGACGAAAGGATTAGCAGCCCGCAGAGGCGGTGCTCAGTTGAGGTGCTCGTTCCTCTACCTCTCAAGACCACCAGAAAATTGCTGAAAAGAAGAAGAGCCTTGCATTAAGCCAAAAATTCAAAATGAATGGATAAACAAAATAAATAAACATAATAAAAATGTTACATTCTGCTGGCGCGTATGAACGAAGACATGCCTGCAGCTTTTTCTCGGTATAAGATGTAACCTGCGTCGAAAAATTTCAACGCCATTACTTTCGCCCACCACCAGCTGTGCCGACGCCCGTTGTTCTAAAGAAGTACCACAAGGATTCTGCTTCAAAACCTTCCCTTCTCTTCAGAAACAGCAATGGGAGGCTCTTCTAAACTACCGTCCAATATGCCTGCAGTGTGTGCTGTACTAGCAAGGCATGCACATCATCCTCATTCGCATACAACGGATGAAGCCCAGTCTCACAAACAAGCCAGAAAGCTACTGTCGCGAAATATTTGGCTGCATGAACAAGGCGATTTCTAGGTCATAGAAATGTCTCCAGGGTACCGCCGCCTTTTCAGACTTCGTCAACTACGAGAAAGTCTTTGAAGTCTTTTAGCGTCGAATCTAAGACATATTTTCATTTTCATTCATTACATAGGGTTACCTCTATGGCGAATCATAAAACAACATGGCCAAAAACAAACAGATGTCAACACACAACCGCAAGATTCAGGTAGTAACACTTAACCTGTGTCAGTAACAGTATCGTCGTGTGCTGTAGATAATTCCTTGAAATAATTTTGAACGTAGACAGCTTGGCAAGAGACAAACGTTTTCTGACAAGCTTGTCCATGTCATGAGTAACTCGGCAAGTGAAAAAATTTTTACGAACCTTAAGCTTTAATCTGGAAATGATTAATTTTCTACATCCACTTCTTGTGTTAGATCTCCTCGTGGGGAAAAGACATTGAAGTCTAGGCCGCAATTTCCATATGCGATTTTATGTGGGGTGAGTGACTTTTCATACGATGAGCAATTCCGAGGTGCGAGCTGTGAACACCTACGGCTAAGTGTCGAGTCTCGCACCTCCGTGTCTAGTATACTGTAGAGAGGACGGGGGGGGGGGGGGGGGAGGGGGACTTTTCATACGAATGTCTCCACATCATCTTTTGGCAAAGATCCAGTAAAAACTGGCACCATGCCAGGTTTGGGCCTGCCGGCTCCATTGCAAAAAAAATCTAGATTAGCTTTTGCAGTACCGCGAATTTGGATAAATTTGGAAAACTTGTATACTGTGTGGATTCAAAAAGTGTTTTGCTGTGAATAATAAGACTATGATCGTTCCACTTACGAATTCTTTAGTATTCAAGTCGACACATAATTCGGTCTAAACGCTTAAACTGATTTGAGTATTGTCACATGCCTCTCCGACCTTTCAGCATGACCTGGAAGTGTTACTCTTCCCATAGGGGATTTTGGAGGGGGAAGACGGTCAAGAGGCGCGATTTTTCCGGGTGTCATCAACTTAAAACTCCAGTTTCATAATATGGGAAAATTCAATAAGTGCCGGACAAAGTTCATTGGCTTACTTACTAGCTTTGAAGTAACCACTTGATAAGTTTGACGACTTTTGCTAGAAAACTGACAGAAATATTTACAAAATTACTGTTAACTGCATTTTTATGTGTTTTTGACCTTTGACAATTTTGTATGAAATCGATTTCAAGATTATGAGATTGGACAATCCCTAATTTCCCTAATATATATCTCGAAATTTCAAGTAATTCTAGAACTTCATAAAAACTAAATATGTGCTATATGCTGCCCATCTGGCAATAGGAATCGCGCCTCTTGACATATCTACACCCATTGGAGGGTATGCGACTCGATAAAGCGAACTGTTCATTACCACAATTGTTCCAGTTGTTTGCGAAAATGAATTCGCTGTGGCCTAACGATCATTACTATGATAGCTATTTCAACCCGATAAGCTTTATACAACAGATTAAATCAAGATATTCTTTAGTTTACGCATTTTTGATAATAAACGTTTCATTTTAGTCCATTGTAATCAATAGCTGGACGTATTATCAGCACCCTAGCATACGCTAGAAGGTCAAAGTGATCGGAGAGCGTTCGTATGAAAAGTCCTCCTCCCCCCCCCCCCCCTCACCTAGGCGTAGTGGAGAATCTTACTCATTACGTGGTTGGAGAGGTGCGATGTAGGTGTGAGGTAGGTGCGAAGGCTATGTGCGAAGTCTTTGATCGTATGAAAAGTCCCCCCCCCCCCTTTTATGTGCCATTGGAAAATCGAATTTAGCCCTCTATGAGCAAGAGAAGAAAGTCCCAGTCTGATGTTACGAGTCTTACTCCGGTCTGAGATCATATCTGTAGCCAGTTACACGAAGAAAAAGTTTACGCGTGTGAAGTTTTTCTGTACTTTCTCAATATAATCGATTGTTTTGCGCAAGAAAGGATAAAATATAATAGTACCATACTCCATCATGGCCCTTATGAATGATTTATATGCTTTTAAAAGAATAGTCGCCTCATTGACTGAAAAAGGCTCTGTATAGACCATATGCAGTATACTTGGGTCCGAATCGAATAGAATCCTCGCTTTTCCACGCGATCACATCTGTGAATTACGTAGCTATCCAAGCTGTCTATAAGCGGGATATCAATTATATTTGGGTTAAGCCAGCTCTTTGTGATGCCGAGTATCCCTAGATTGCACCTCATAACAAAGAGAGTCACACTTCTGATATTCCTGCACAATCATCTAACGTTAGCCAAAAGACACCCTAATGAATTATCCACACTCCGAGGATGATTCAAGCATTTAAAGCACCGACACTATGAGTATTCGTTTGAGTTGATGAAAAATCAATAACAAGGAAATGCGAATTATTCATGACAACGTCATGTAAAGATTGTTGGGACAATGTTCTATTGATTGACTGGTTACGCTGAGCCATCCTTTCTTGACGCATCCTTTCCCTCACTTCTTTTGAAAGTGAGGGCCTGATGAAACCGCGCCGCGGAAAGTTTTTCATCAGGGTGCTCTATGCAATAACAAATCTGTAAAATAGGTGGACGGTAAAATTACTCTGAGGAGTCTATCGCGTGTGCATTGGGGCTTTCCCATACGATAAGCACTAATCGGACGACACTCAATTCTTAGGTGATCAAAAATCTGGTTAATACAAGTGAAGTTGTGCGGAAATTTCGCACTTCGGGAACACCTCTAATTACCACGGAGCGTTTTCTTTCTTCCTCACCAGACGAAAAAACAGGGGGAGGAACTCCTGGGACAGCTGGGGTAAGCTCGAAAGCAGGTGCATATGGATTCAAAACGGGTATACTAGGAGAAATACTTGAAGATTTGAGTTTATCATTTTCACTACTAAGACATTTGGCCTATTCGGTCAAAAGATTAATCTGATCCTCTAACTCACGATTTTGCTGTGATAGATCTCCGTATTGTTTCCTTCCATCGACCAAGTAAGCGATAAGCGTCCGGACGTATGATGTTAGATTCTCATCCTTGACGAGCCATTCTGCCGCTCGATCGAGTTCGGACGACGACGGATGCAAAATCTATCTTCCTCTTTTTCCATCTGCCCACTGGTCGCAAGGGGTAGACTGGTGTTTCGGCCATGATCGAATAATAGTGGACGGCAGGATCTTAACGATGGACGGAATAGATGACGATGGCGGGTAGATGCAATATCATTCGAAGCATATCACGCGAAGCAAAACGTCCCTAAGAAAGAACACTAACGAGATGGGCAGACGGGGATGCCCCGGGGCGGCACTAGTCACTCCGCCTTTCTTGTAACCTAGCAGAGTTTTCAAATATTCCGATCTCAAAGCAGGGGATGCACATTTTCGAAATATATGAGATGATTTTATTTACGAAGACAAGAATCTGAAAAAATATGCCCTTTTACTTGCTATTTTGTAATTTCCTCTCTTTTCCAACTCCAAGCCAGCCTAAATTCTGAACGTGTATTCTGGACGTGTAGCCTGAAAACCTACTCAAAAGGCAGCGTCCCACCAGACTGGGGGGCCTGGCTCTGGTAGTAATGTAATATTAGGTTGTAAAGAAAGTTCCCGGGCACTTCTGGAGATTTTATTTTCAAACGCATTTTTTCGGCGCTCGGTCGGACTTTGACACTAGGTTACTGTTTAGTAGAGGGAAGCTTGAGGTTTTCAATACGCCTTCTGATTTCTATCGATGCTAAGACGTGTTTGACCTGTACATCGAAAAAGGAAATCTTTCCAATCATAAAAATTTCGCAATTTTTCTTCCTGTGCCCATTTTACTGTACAGTTCAAAGAATTTCGTCCAACTCATGAGTGATCTGATTGAGGAACCTGTTAGCTTCTGACCCGCAGCTGCACTCGAGTTTTGCGATTTGTGCTCAGAAATTACAAGCTGTCGAACTTGCCTCTGACCAACTCTTTTCGCAGCTGGCGTCGCTTCTGCAGAGATCGCCGCGCCTGAGTGATGGGACCAGAAGATGTGCAAGACATTACCCCAACAATGTTCCCAGTAATCAAAGATTTGGTCCTTTCTGTGCAGAAATAGAAGACTTCAGAATCACTTACTCGAAAAATGGTGCATTCTTGGGAGCAAAAAATGGTCGATTTTTCAAACTTTTTTGGGAAAATTTTTGCAGATGGTCCTTCAAAAACATGAATGGTCCCCATAACAGCCTTAGCAGACTTCTATATGACTACAGCATTGGGCTCTCCAGCTCTCATCCGGCATGAGATAACCTGCACAAATAGACCATTTTTCGCGACGACCTTTTTCCCTTCTGCGCATGCTAATGGGATACTGAGAAGCCAGCAAGACAAATATATGTTGTGGACACTGTCTTTGCAGTGAAGTTGGTAGTCTCAAAAACGATTCAATCTGCTTCAAGTTATAGCGATTTGAACAAAAATTTCGCAAGTGCCCGGAAACTTTCTTTACAGCCTAATAGTAGAACCCCTTAACTAAGCGACGACAGAAGTTTGCAGTGCGTAAGGGGGCCTACGAAGTCTACAAATTGCTCCTCAAGTGGCCCGAATCTTACGGTAGACTCGGGCGAGTGCGAGATGCATGCAAAGTAGAGACGCGGAGTCGTTGCGGGACTCTGCGCTCATGACTGTGTGCGCTATACGCACTCTGGCCTTGCAAATCGGTACTGCTGTGTGGGCGGCGTCCGGGCCTACGTAAGATTCGGGCCACTTCCGGAGCAAATTAGGCTTGGTAGACCCCTCCTTCGCTCCGAACTTCAGTCATCACTTAGGTAGGGGTTTACTAACATCGCCAGGAAAACCCAGCACCCATCTTTTTGCCGGGACGCTGCCTTTGAGCTAACATGTAGCGTTCTTGACTTCATTCAAATCCAAGATCTTCGCTTTAGCAGGATGTTGCGTAACTCATCCAATTCAAAGCGCCTGCGCCTCTAACGATAGCCTAGCTCTCTGACCAATCAGAGGCCCGCAGTAATTGTTAAGGCTAGCAGTGTAGAAAGGCCTCCCGAGCAATGTTTTCGTGGGAAGGATGGATCGGTTAGAAATTAGGTGGTTACGACTCTGCCATCAGAAACTCATGGACGCAGCTACCGGCGACAAGTAAGAAGATCGTGGATGTCTGAAGCGAGAGACAAGAATATCGAAATCACTGTACCAGGTCCCGCACGACATGAAGACGAACCATCTTTTGCAAGTATCTAAGAAATGTATGGCCTCGGGCAGAGTCCATGGATTTCATCGTCGCGATTTATCGCTACAAGACAAGTGCCACGAGTTCACTGCATGCCGATCTTCTTGTATTTTGGTTGTGATAGTTATCACGATCGTTCGTGTTGGGGACTATCACAACCGAATGCAAGAAGATCGGTATGCAATGATATTGTTACAGTTGTCTTGTCGCGATCAATCGCGACGATGATATCGCGTGAACTCTGCCCGAGGACAGGAAGTTATATGAAACCGAAGTCCGAAACGAGCGTAAAGAGCGTACTCGCGTGATATCTCCCGGCCTCAGAAGCGCGCGCAAAAGCAGTTCCGCAGCGGATTCTGACAAACCCTACATTACAAATTCTTCACTCTATTCATCTCCGTCTCCACCTCACAGGGTTTCTCACTATCCTATTTTCAAGCATACAAACAGCTCAAATTGCGCTATAGGTCGCCGGAGAAATCAGCGGACCCTTTACCATGGGCGCAATGGTGCCGATTGCTCCAGAAAGCGACCGCTTTGAAAGGTATTGCAGCGATCTGCTCAAGTATGCTCTCATTTAAGCAAACAGGGAGCTTGTACTAAAAAGCGGGCAAATGGAGCCAATATGCAAACTGACGTGTTAACTGGTCCCTTATATTCGACCAACTCCATAGATTGCGAAGACGATTCTTGAGAGGAGCGCCAAGACTTCCATAGCTTTTGAAAAACATTCTTTTTTGATGATTTTTTTGACTTCATGATCTTAACTACTAATCTCAATTGAGCCGATTGAGCCGTACTCGAGCAAGTTTACCTTTTAGAATAGATTAAAGTTATTGACAGAACACATCTATAAGCAGAGGAACACCCTCACAAGTTGAGAAAACCTACAAAATGAAGTGACTTCCCGCTGCAGTTGAAGTCAATTTCGGACTGGATAATTAATTTTTATCAATTGCTCTACGTGAATCCACGTATGCGGTGGTTTTTTCAAATGAAAATTTGTGCGACACTTATCTACAACCTCAACCTCAACGCTTGAAGTAAAATAACGGAAATTTGATTGTGTGTTAATTCCGGTAACCTCGACTACGTGATTGCGTATGCATCGAATTGCTGATGACTTTTCGAGTGTTGAGAACGCCTAATGAGCACATTTTCCAAGCATCCCATTCTTTATGACGCCATGAAAATTTTCCTTCAATCAGAGAATTCGGATTTACATTTCAAACGCTGTCAGCAATATACATGTACAACAACCACAGGTAATATGACTTGTAAAAGCACCTTAACGATCAATATCACTTCCAGAGATTAGATCTAATACAAGGACAAAATAAACGAAAAACACAACACACATGCAGAGGATACAATCCACTTATAAAACAGTCACATATAAACCTACCGAAGGCAGCGCAGAAAAATAAACTTGGTATCGACACATAACAGCTCAAAAATACATACGAGCGAGCAAAGCAATTTCATACATGGGGATGACAAGGCGCAACATTTCAAGTCCCAAGATGACTGACCAGAATTATATATCGAAATGATTTAGAGCCCTTGGGCTTACTGTGATATCGTGGTCCGATGGTGGCGAAGAGCAAGGGAAAAACCATGCAAGTAGAGATCCTGAACGCAGTTTACTTAGACTAGTTAGCTGAAACTGGTTCATTATCGGAACGGTCATGAACGTACCTCCCCCACAAACTTCTCTGAGTAAAGCTACTCTTCCTCGACGGCGACTTTTCTTATATGCCAATCTCGTTCGCCTTTGTACAGCTTCAACGGCCGTCTCGTCGGAGAAGATCGCACTCAGCTGCAACGCATTTTTAGTTCAATTTTGAAGGCAGCGGCTCGGCAGAATGACAACTTTGGGATATTCATCGTCCCGGTTCCCCTGAATGAGCTAAGTCCAATGTGCTTTGCAGCTTCAAAAGATATCAGTAACCCGCATTTCCAGATGTGAAAATCGCTATTTTTGGGCGGACCGCGTATCTGCCCTCTAGAGCGCGATTCGCTCGTGAGTGGAGATACTGTACCCACCGTCCACGAGCCAATCGCGCTTTAGAGGATACGCGGTCCGCCCAAAAAAAGCGGACCGCGTATCTGCTTTTTCGTCTGGAAAAGCGGGTTATTGAGATGAAGCTGCAAAGCACAGTCTTAAACTTAGCACTCCACGGGAACGAGAATGATGAATTCTGCCGAGCCGCTGCCTTTAAGAAGACAACAGGGTGCTTACCTGATCGCAAGAGACAGCAAAGACGAACATTCCAAACAGAGCGCTCTCCATAGAAAGGAATATAGAATGGAGCCTGACAAAGCGAAAATTAAACAACACATAAGCTTAGGGTGGTGATAGACTAACACTTTGGCGTGATGTGCGTTCTCTCCAAAAGGTCCTTTGAGGCCTGTAGAAGCAAACTCGTCGTCGTACACCCATGAAAGAACCATAACCCTGGAAGATTAATTGACTGAAAGTTTTTAGAAGCTTCTTTGAATAGAATGGAAACGGAAAAATCATAATATGACCATGAAAGCAAAACGTACGCCAACACAGACGAGAAGTCGCAAAAGAAACATCTTAATTTTTGCCTAGGCCGTGTGTGATGGCCAGCTATATTAGCAACCTCTTCTTTCAACGACTGTAAGTATGGACTCACAAAATGCTAAAAAACTTACATGATAGAGTAGGTGCTCGACAACCCTACGTAAAAAAGGAATTGGAGGAAAAATTTTTGATTGAATTCGCCAACACAATTGTTCACCCAGGGACCTAAAAAAGTTTGGATGTAGAATGTGCATACGAATTACACTTTACACATATTACGAACATTAGCTCAAATATTAGGTGTTGTCCCGAAAGTTTCGTCCGATTTTTAAGTCCTCACTCAAACTCACAGGACACCAATCCATGAACAACTTAGGTACCATTTGATTCAAATTTTTATCCTCTTTCTTACAGCTGTATTTGCTCTCTGACGTACCCTGTCTTTGCCATGGTTCGTTCATGTTCGCCATGGTTTTTTGAGCATGTCAGCGATAACGCCAAACTTTAATTTTAAAAAATTTTTATCCTAATATTTTCAAAGAGCGCTGGTAACTATTACGTAAAGCAAACTTTTGCTACATTGTACCCATTTTAGATTACATGAACAACGTTTACCAAGTTCGTTATAATTACTTATTTGATAGAAACCACGGTTTGGTTGCCACGTTTACCACGTAAAAGTACGAAAATTACAAAAAGCTAATTTTTCAAAGCAAATCAAACTTAGTTAGATTGTATAGATAATGTTTAATAAAAATCATGTTTCGATTCGCAGAAACCTCAAAAGCTCTCGCGTTTTGCTGCAGTTGCGTGTCCTACGACTTTGATAAAATCGAAACCTCCAAAAAAATAATTTTTCGAAGCTAAAAACAGCAAATTAGGAGAATCTCAAATTACCAACTTGTAGTCCGAGAATTGCTCTATGTGATCCACGCTTAATCATTTCCGAAAATTTGGAAAGGAATTTTGAGAGATTAGCCTAACTTTGGGCAGATAAAATTGACGGATGGAGAATTTTGGCAATTATCAAAAGAAGCATACAAGATTATTGACAATGTTCCGTAAAAAAGACAAGGAAAAGCTGCATCGAGCATTTTGAAACTCATTCAGGTCTTTATTGTGCGTGGTTTCACAGCGGTTTGAAGCGACGGACAAAACTTTCGGGGCAACCTAATACATCATTTTTTAGTCATATGACTTCCCTTCCGACAAAAAAAAAATTTCTTCTTGAGAATCATGCAAATGCTCTGGTTAAAAATTTATATTTCTTCATGGTTGCTCAAATGTCATTAAAGGAGATTCGAAAATGCCTCTACCTATAAATTTTTGATTATCAAATGGGCAGCAGTACCTCTTTTTTAGCAGGTTTTTTTTCTTTTTAGTACCTCTTTTTTGGCAAGTTTTTTTATTGTATCATAACAATCTGCATCAAAATCCAAGCAGCTCACAATATCCTAACTCTCAGATGATACTAGGATCAAAGAAGGGTATGTTCTAAGCGCCGATGTCCTACTATTTGAAAATAATGATTGAAAGTAACGCAGTAAGGGCACTGATGGCCAACAAACTTACAATGGTGGTCCATTTTTCGTATACATCGACGACATACACGACAGTGATGGGCTCGTGGAGGTCTGAAGGATTCGCATCGAGTACACATAGTCCAGTCTGCCTGCAACGAAAATTATAGAAAAGAGGTAAGAAGTCGAAAGGAGATAACATACCGCAGCAGCGCTTCGACTCCTAAGCATCATTGCTTCTCGGTCGCTGGGGCTATCATCATCAGATGATGAAGAAACCAAACCGAATCGTGCATTTCTGTCTAGATACATCCTGAAACAGCAAGGTAGCGCTATCTCATATCTTACTTCACAAACAAAAATTTTGCCCCTCAGTGAAGAAGAAAACTGACCCATTCTTCAAAATAGGGACCACTCCCGGATCTGTTAACATCGTACGCGCATGTGAGAATAGTGTCATGAAGATCAGAGTATTGAAAAGAGCAATATGAACGGCACCCCAGATTCTAGAACGAAGGTATTTTAGATTACTGATTAAATTACTTTCTTCTTGTTCTGCTTCCCGAAATTTTTTCATGATAAGCACTGTGCTCCAGAAATCATACTTTGAAAGATGAACACACACAGGGTGCAAACCCCATGAATCAGAGATAAAGTAATCCGCTATTCTGATTTGGCGCCTTTACCATAAATAAAATAAAATTTGCCCGCAGCGTTTGAAAGAATGCCAGGAAAGTGTATATATGCATTACTATGTACAGATGTACATCACGAACAAAAATGAAGTTTTTCAGATTTTAAGGATTGCGACGCATGAAAGCTCAATATTTCTTCTTCTTATGCGAGCACTAGCAGCAAAAAAACAGCCTCAAACTTGACAAGTCGCAACTGTGCTATCTCTCTTCATCCGCTAAGCATTATTTTTTTAACAACTTATCATTTTAAAAATGCCGCTTCGCAGGTGGAAAAAAGGTCGCAACCGTTTGCGCAACCAGATGATTATGGTAATAATACGACTGACATTCGAGAACCTCCATTAACATTCCAACTCTTAACTTGTAGAGGAAAAGAAGAATTTTTCGCAAATCTTGTTTTCACGACATTTTTTCCAAACATATTCAACATGACTATGGGAAAAAATTTTTTCCAGTTCGCTCCAGGTGCTGCACTCAGTTTTTCATAAAAACCTGCACTTTGGGCTGTGCCACTGCATAAATGAAACCTGCTAATTTATGGTAAACTCGAGAACCCCAAAACTCCACATACTGCTAAAGATGGATTTAGGCATCGTTTTCGATACGTCGTTATGCAAATATAGAAACTTTAGGAACTATATAGAAAAAAACTCACGATTCCCCAAAAACCGGCATGACCATCCAAACAGTGATTACATAGTCGGCATATACGACACAACCGTATATCATCAGAACACATATTAGGCCACATGGATCGAAACGCACGATCATGACTCCTATGCTGGCACACAAATACTCATCGCAGCACACCAGAGCAAGTTATTCCGAACATGAAGAACACCCCCGACTTAGTGCACTTCGATGTCTGCAAATTTGAGTAGTACTGATACTGACTTCGGAAGCTATCAAACAGCCGAGAGAACGATAAAAGTTGAAATAAAGAGTGACACATGTCACTGAGCGCTCTATACTTGATGAAATGTCAGTCAACATGCAACCTATTCGTTTTTGATAACTCATCTTCGTATGTATTTGCATCAAAAGAACCTCATTGCAGGCTTAACTTCCACCAACAGGCCATCATGACAGATAAAATCATACAGCTGAAATGCATTTTGCGCGTGAGCTTTAGTCCGATTTGCAAACGATTTCTATTTAATTTACTGCGAGCTAGCAAGAATAATATACATAAAACTCTTGGTACTAGCAAGCTCGCTTGCTCCCTCCATTCTAAAAATGTATCATGCTAGATGCTTTTGAATTTTAACAGATGAATTTCAGAGTACTACCTCAAAGGAGGGTCACAAAGTCGAAGTGGCCGATTATTATGAATTACATATAAGTGAGAACTCAAAATGCTAATTTTAGATATGCTTTGTCTAGCTGCAGAGCGTCTTGGAGAAGAACTTAGATCATTTGAGGTCAAAAATGGAATTAATGGAATCAACCGCAAAAACCTTTATAAAGTCAAATGGAAAAATAGGAAGTACTAATATACTAGGCAAAATGAGTTTGTTGTACGAAGGTCTTAATAGCCGCTACTTCATCTGAAATTTAAAGAAGCTGTTGCGATTGATTTTACCTCAGCCACTGATTTATTTTTTGACTTCAAAATAGTCGCATAACTTCTTTTTTCGGAAGCGCTCTGCAGACAAGGAGAGCAGATTTGAAATCAGCGCTCTAAGCTCTCAGTAATGGTATGCAGTTTATAGCAACCGGCATAGGTGCGAAGGCCTGAGATGGGTACCCTCCAAAGTGAAGGGGGTCTCAGGAGTTTTTGACCCTCAAAAGTGAAGAGGGTCCAAAAATTGCCGACGTCGACCGGGGGGGGGGGGGGAATTGAAAAAAATTTTTTCAGTTTTTCAACTTTAATTTTTCCAAATTTTAATTTTAACAACTTTCCTATTTTTTGCTTTTAAATTTTCTAAATTTATTTGTATACATTTTAACATAGTAAAATGTTTCCGAGTACTTTTTTGATGAATATCATTTCATTATCATGTATCATGGAAGCAAAAAACGGGACCGGACCCTCCTCACTGGGACGAAGCAGGTGCTAAGGTGAGTTAGTTAGATTGAAGTTGAGATATCGGAGCTGAAAAATCCAATTTTAGGCATTCCATGAGACGAGCAGTATTGAGTCGATATGGGAGGGCGCATGGTCGTGAAACGAATGGCTGGAGCGGTGCCTACACGTGGGCTTATACGAGACTCAGAAAAAGACATTTTGTGATTATAATGTGGATATAAATTGAATAATTTGCCATCGTATTGTGTGTATAAGGATAAACAATAAATGGAATTGTTGTACACATTCGAATTTGTATATATTGAGTGAAGGCAGAGAACCAGGTTTTAGTTGCCAACTATACCCCCCCCCCCTCAAGCCAAAAAATTTCCATATCTCGGTGGGGGGGGGGGGGGTCATCTCATGGTCTAATTTTTTTTATCTTGTAAAGGAGAGTGTGCTTGAGATAACTAGGGCTGTCGCAAAAGGATCTGCTTTAAGGAAGGAGAGCAACAGCACCGAGTTGAAGACGCATAAATTTGTGCGTAAAATTCAAGCTTCAGAAGTTCTGCTTCAGCAGATTCTTTTGCGACAGCCCTAGTTATCTCAAGCACACTCTCCTTTACAAGATAAAAAAAATTAGATCATGAGATGACCCCCCACCCCACCGAGATATGGAAATTTTTTGGCTCGAAGGGGGGGGGGTATAGTTGGCAACTCAAACCTGCTTCTCTGCCTTCACTCAATATATACAAATTCGATTGTGTATAACAATTCCATCTATTGTTTATCCTTATACACACAATACGATGGCAAATTATTCAATTTATATCCACATTATAACCACAAAATCTCTTTTTCTGAGTCTCGTACAAGTCCACGTGTAGGCACCACTCCAGCCATTCGTTTCACGACCATGCGCCCTCCCATATCGACTCAATACTGCTCGTCTCATCGAATGCCTAAAATTGAATTTTTCAGCTCCGATATCTCAACTTTAATCTAACTAATTTACCTTAGCACCTGCTTCGTCCCAGTGAGGGGGGTCCGGCCCCGATTTTTGCTTCCTTTCCCGCATTCTCATTTCCTACACTCTGTAAATAAATTCTTTTACCTTAAATTGTACTCCACTTCAAGCACACTATCATCTCACCTCAAAAAATTTTCTTTCTCCGTCCAAAGTGAAGGGGGGGGGGTAGCCCAGGCTCCAAAGTGAAGGGGGAGTGAGATTTTTCTCAACCCTTCGCACCTATGGCAACCGGCTACTTCAACTTCGTGACCCTCCCTTGTTAGGTCTATTGCATCCCTTAAAAAAATGAATTGACTGTGATATCACAGGAAAAGATGCTGCTCAGCTCTTCAAGCTAATGGGTATGACCTTAGAACATCTTTAACATGAGCCATACTTGAGCCACTTGATCCACTTCGCTATCGGTCAAGTCAGTGAACTGAACAGCGAAGTGGATGAAGTGGGTCAAAGGGATCAAGTAAAGTATGACTTATGCCTTTGAGCCGGAATGAGTTTAATTCATAAACGTTCAAGATTCATAAATCCAAGCACATGCTTTGCATCAGAGAAATGTATAGCCAGTTTATCGGCTTGATATATGTGTTGTCTGCATACTGAAGCGACCCCCACCCCTCCCCAACTCCGCATTTCTCTCCGTAAACGATGCAATTTGTTCCACCTCATTGCAAAGTACATATTCACATAAAAAGATGAGAATGACGATTTTCAACAATTTGCTATGTCGAACGGAAGCATTCACCTGTTCACAATTGCTTCTAGGTTGGGCCAATTTTTGTGACATATTGTATCTGATACGAACACAAACTCAGAACAGCATAAGCAGAAAATAAGAAGCATTAGAGTGAACTCAAAAACAAATTGCAATGTGATAAAGTAGAGTAAGAAATTTGCAATCTACTAGAAATCGGTCATTGGGTAGGTTGGAGATAGGCACAAGTAGCGGGATGTTGCTATCGAGTTAAAATGACTCGAATAGGTGCAAAAAAAATTTAGGCTTTGCCAGGAGGTAATCACTCACTGGAAGGTTTGCATCGATATTAGATTCACCTGAAAACTATTTCATTTCGCTTACTATTATTGGAGGATAAATCGAATATTGATATGCCCTTTTATTGTAGAGACTGCAATCAATAAAGTATGTGAAAAATGAGGTACAGCAAATATGTACATGGGTTTTGCTTACATAAAGCACGGCCAGAAGGCACATAACCGCACTTATTGGAAAACTACCACATGACGGCTTGGTAATCGATGAATTTTTTTGCTTACTAAACGATTCTGACAGCTTTTAAAAAACCCTGTAATCGAAGGTAATTTGAAAGAATAATGGAAGTAAAAAGTGGACAATGAAGGCTGAAAAAAAAACATACACAGATGAGATAAAACCCATTTTACTGCTTTAGCGAAATGGGTAGGGCTGCCGCATGTCCTGTCAAAAGACTATTGCTATGCCAATGCTGATAGTGATAGAATGCAGTAAAATACACAGCATGAAAAAATAGAAACCCATTGATTGTGCATCACACCAGGCAGCACATGTCGCATGGGCAGCAGCAGCACTTTTCTCAACAAAAAAAATAATCACTGCTCGGTGGCCTCGGTTTCAGTTCAACTTTTTTAGTACCTATATAATATACATTTCCAACAGAGGTTAACCCATATTATACAATAATCTCTTGATAGCTTGCAAATGAGCGACAATTGGTGACAGGAAAGTGAAAATCAGCTCACAGAAAGAGCCTAGCCTACCCGTGGTTTGTGATAATACTACGCATGTTATCATCGCTTTATACAGAGCTACCATGCACGTACATGAGCGAAAGTGCATGGTCCAACAGTAACTTTGTAGTACAGAATGTCGAGAGTAATCATACGTTGTACTTCAAATTTGACCAGCGTTTGTGGCAAGCTCAGTGCACGGGTTTTTAGCCTTTTGGGTTTTTTTGCTGACACAAAAGTTTGATCAATGGCTCAAATTCGTTTCCAAGGTTCAAACAGTTGAACTTGCTTTACAGTTTAAAAATCCAAGTTAAAGCTTGCTTTACAACTGGCACCTAAAGAGCAGCAAAAGGCTTCAAGGAGTAAGATTTAACGACCAAACGACATATACTAATTTGGAAAACTCTGTATAAGGTTCCTAGTGAGAATGGTAAAACACGACAGGCATCTCATAAAGAGTCAAAAATCTTTATGTTTCTGTCATACCGCGTATGCAAGTATGCAAAACTCTGCAAAATGCAGGTAAAGAAGGTAGGTGATTGCATGTGCTGGACCGCGATTTACGCAGGGTGGCGAAAAGTTTCCAGGGAAGAAGAAAGGCATACGTGAGATTAAAGATTTCCATAACCTAAAACATGCACGATGATAGAGACTCTTCATTGCTTATTATGCGTGCCAGATTACAGTGTAATGGGACAAGGGATAGAGGATGAAATTTAAAATGCTATGGCTATTTTGATCAAAACGTGCAAGGCACATATGCGCACGCCACGTGTACAAACTAACATACAAATTAGGCCGGAAGTCAAGGCCACTGCAGAGAAATTTTTAACAAGTCCTGCAAAAATCATGAAGGTTCATGATTTCTTAATCGAATACAGACTGCAGATACAAACAGGAATGTTTGAAAGTACGTCACTACAATAAATTCACGAGGAGCTGAGGCCTAGAGACAGTCAAAATGTCAACATTTTTGTCATTGCATTCGCTGAGATCCAAGTGTAAACAAAATGTAATGAAAAATGTGCAATGCCACTTTTTGAGCAGAGCATCATCGTTGATGAAAAACAAATAACCGGTTTGTTTCTAGTCAGTGGAATTCATGCACCATGCACGATACTTCCAGCATGATACTGTTCTTGTTTACTTTGAAGAAAAAGGATTTGAGCGGACTCATCTCCTTAGCGTTTACGATATTTATCTAGGTATCTAAGCAATTTTGACTAGTTGTAGGCCGGACTCATTCAGGGTGCATGCTAAGTTGCTTTGCGCAGACACTCTAAAAAACCACAGAGGTACAAGGATGTCGCAAAGTCTTTATCATTACGTGGTTTTTGGGTTAATTGCGCAAAGCTACTCTGCGTGCGGCCTGAACGAGTCCAGACTACAACCAGCCAAAATATGCTTGGACTTCTCAATCCACAGCGCTGGTCGAACCAACGGTCAAAAAGTTCTTGATTTTATTTATGAACACGGAAATCGCACTTCCGAGTTGCCTCATTAGAGATTTACATACCAAAATCATGAGACCTTCAGGCATGCAGAGTACCCGCTAGGATTCCATTGGATCTAAGCCTTTTCCATTCCTTGTATACGAAGACAATATATCAGATGATGCCCTGCAGTGCAATTTCGGTCATTTTTTGTTCAATGAAGTCGACATCAATAATCGTAATGAGTTCAAGACGATGTCGTTTATAGCGCACATCTTACCCAATCGCTTCTAGATACTATGACAATCGATGGAAAATCTGACTAGAAAAAAAATGTTCTGTTACTCGTATCTGCTTATTAGGCCCTATGCCACCTCTCCTCCCCACACCTGCTAAAAACTGCACTGCAACTGTTTAAAAACTCGAAATCTCAGTAGCAGCCTTCGTATTCCAGCTAAGACTTCATCGATCGATTTGTAAGCATATGCGGAGGCCATCAGTCTTCCGAAAAAAAATATTTTTGGGATGATTACCCCAGATTTTTTGGAAAATTCTACCAGCAAAATTGATTTTCTAAAACTATTCCAACTGACAAGTAAAAACGAGTCATTTGCGCGCAACACGCCCCCCTCCCCCTGCCACTGGTAACATCGTACACTACGAAATTTTCATATTTTTCCATATTACACAGTTCCTAACGCCGCTAGAAAAAGTGTGGCATCCGCAACCAGAAAAGATTCATGGATCTACTAAACTTTGTGGTAAAAGTATTTCTCGTGTTCGCAAGTGAAAAAAACAAATAACTTGCACGGCATTACAAGTCTTTTGTGTCATTTTTTTTTCAAACTGCAAATCGTTCTGACATGGTGGGAGGGGGCCATTGGTATGAATAACTGAATGGTTGACCGTCTTTAGAACTTTAATGTTGAAAAAGATTCCATTTTGAAAGAGCAGTTGTTCAAAATCAAAAGGGCAATACCAGAAAGGCACCTGCTCATTCCACTTAGAATCGATCGCACAGCATTTACTCATTCCACTAAAAACAATCCACTTTTTCTACAGCGTCAAAAAGCCTATGACACATGTGCAACGCAACATTTCTGTATAAATCATCGTACGAAACCGGCCACGAAACTATTCTCTACCATAAATACTGACCGTATTCTTCGCAGGTGTGACTGTGAAAACGAACAGTATGTTGCATCTGTTACTCTGAAAAGTCAGAGAAGAATGCTTCTGTCACTGTAAAGCAAAACAACTTTTACTCAATCTTGATAGACATGGGTCCAATCTAACTACGATGGTCAACATTGCGAGAAATAGAACAAGGCATTTGACGATACACATCATAGCTATAGCTTCCCGGGTAACATAATAATCATGACTGAAGAAAGACTGACTGACTGTGCAGTCTACTTCAATACGACTCACATTAGTTCTATGAAGAGAAAAAACACACTATACTCACAGAAGTAGATGAATGCATGGAGGACGAGTCTGCTATTGCCGATTCTTTCATCTTGAAATACTGCTAGCAGTGAAGCGATCAAACACAATTCTCTCCAATCTTCTAGTTCCAGTTTTCAAATATGCAGAAAGCTCATCATCACAAACAAATTAAAGTGCGTTTTGCAACTCCAAAAAGAAACGCACCGAAAGAAGATAAAGGTAGCAGATTGCTTTAAAACTACCACAGCCTTAACAACCATCAAGCAATAGGATAATGACCAAAATGTTCTAATTCTCAAAAAGCTGCAATTCTATCTGCAAGAACATGCTTAGCTTGTTTACATATACTGCCCACGCAAGAGATCTTTGAAGAAACAGGCGAACAAAAATACTGAATTTCTTGGAAAGCCGTTTTCTAGACCTCAAAAGAGTGCGTCAAAACACATACAGATGCATTTCTGAATTCCAACAAGGTTTTCTCGACATCGAAGAAAAGCAAACAAAGCTGTATAAGCTTCGAAAGCTGCGGTGGTCAAAGCAAACACAACGAAACCGCGTTTGCGCTAAAGAAAGGTTGGTGGATTGGTTCATTTTCAAGACCGACGTTGTATACAAAATTTCTCCACTGTCTGATCGTTATCTCCCCACTGTTTGATTGTTAACTTCTTGGCTTGATGTCTTTCAACGTTGGTACCAATTTACAGCTGGTCAACAGAGGACTCCGTTATGCTGACAATGAGTTTTCACCGTAATCGTACAATAACAGAAAAGACCGGCATATCTCCATACCGTAAACCTAAGCGGAGCCAGCTCTACAGTAGGTAATCCGAATGTTGGCGAAAGACATCGGGACGAGAAAAAAAAGATCAGACACTGGAGACACTTTTATGTGACACCCTTTATAGTCGAATTGATTTTCAAAAACCTAAATAAGGTAGTGTCGATGGAAAAGAATCAAACAACACTCCAATTCATCTGTCTCAGCTGAAACAACAGTAAAGCAGAACTGTAATAACCCGTTTACTGTTGCGAAATGCAAAACAGAGGTTTTGCCGTAGAATATCGGAGGCAAAATTGTAATAACATTCTACTGTAAAACGCTGCACATTACGTGGTCATCTTTGAGCTCACGTTAGAGAGTTGTAGCAATATCAAGATTCATCTGAAAAACGAATTCTACATTTCGGAGTATACACGAATATGTTTCGCGCAGTTCACAGGCATAACAAGACATGAGATGGGAGATACAAGCAGCTATCTCTGTAAAGCGACTATTTGAGCTTTTGCTGGATATCGATAATAGTGTTTGCAAACGATATGAAAATACTCACTACTAATCAAATAACACCTAAAGCATACAAATTTGTACTATTACCATGCTTTTACATTGAGCAAGCTCATTTTATTCGCACTTTATGACTGACTTAAGCCATGACTCAGATATAATCATGTAGATCATCCATAAATTGCAAGAAAGACCCAAACCGAATTTTTTTTTAATTATTACTCATCATGACTTTCAACAATTGATTGCATGATTGTTTGCATCCCAGGTCATATAAACTCATGCGCAGTTTGAGTTTTTGCGACATATAACAGTCTCTTAAGAAAGAGAACGTTGAACTCGGCAGACTTTTCACTTTGGGTTGCACAAAAACAAACTATTTCAGGAGGTACGTGAATGATAAGAAATTCCACATGAGTTGAATCATTCTCAATCACTGTCCATCTGTCATTTATTCCCACTCAGATAATAAGATGACAGGACAACTTTTAAGTGCTTAGATAAGAGACCTCCAGAGAAAAGTTTGATTACTCATCAAACTTAAAAAAGAGAGTTTATTGCTATAAATTTTTTTACAGCAACACTCTTGTCTACTGGAAGTAACTGAAATGTAGTAATGTCTTAGAAGACACTAAAAGTCGCAAGTTGCGCCTTAAACGGCCAATTTTTCTATCTGCAAAATTCGTTATAAAGATCTACACTAGCGTAAACACTAGAGGAGGAAATCGTCACAATCACCTGCTGAGTTTTTCAAACAGAATGACAGCTATTCAAGCTTTTGAATCGATCTTTCGTAAAATAACAGTCTCTTTGATCACTTAGCATTATAGAGAGGATATGAGGACAATACAGAGATTTAAAGTCAACAGATTTCAGTCAGAAACCTCGCAACATCAGAGGATTTTGCGACATTTAGCTACTACAGATTTGGAACTGGCGTTTCGCAGTACATCAGATCATTAGATAAAATGCATCACAATGCAGAAAACACGTTAGATGGTACCCTATTCGGAGTATTAACAGTCGAATGCTCGAAGACACTAACATCTATAAACCCGTCTCACACCTCCACGTCACGAGAAACATTGTTCTAGATTACTGTGTTTTAGTGACTACTCAGCAAAATCATTTGTGATTGTCAAAGCCTCAGTCTTCTAGACTTCCAGTGTTTTTGACTCAAAATTTAGCCCACAGCGTAGAGTGTTGTCTAACATGGATCGTTATTGCTACTGACATCAAACACACTGAAAGCAAGATTCTAAGGCTTCAAATACTATGTGGATTTATGAGCAGATGCAGCAGAAACACGTGAAGATAGTAAGCAAGCAATAAGCAAAATCGAAAGGAAGAAAACTCGAATACCTAGAAAATAGGCTTAGCATAGCCATTCCGTCACCAGACTCCTCAGGTATTGGGTAAAAGCTGAAAATTTTGGCATGGCCGCATCAGATGCTAGCTGACTTACGGTTCGGTTGGCATTTTTAGAAGGTTTCTGTGGCAAGTTATTTTCCTAAGCATTTCTGTGACAGCCGGAAAGATCGAAGCCTTAGGGGTGTCAAAAGGCGCGATTCTTATAGCCAGATGGACATCAGTTAGCACGGGAGACGGTCAAGAGGCGCGATTTCTCCGGCTGTCACCAACTCAAAACTCCACTTTAGCACTATTCAATGTTTTACAACGTTTTAAAAGCATTTAAAACTTCAAGAATGAGATGTATGCATTCGTTGTTCAGTCTTAATAAGCAGAGATAGTCCATGTATAGATGTCAGAAACCTCTGAAGATGCAACCAAAAGCATTCTCGCAAATATTTTGGCCAAGTTTTCGGCAGAAGTCATAAGCAGCAGGTGGTGACTTCACCCAGCTAGCAAGCGAAGCTTTGTATGGTATATTTGAAGACTCGCTCTGCACAGAATTGAACTTTTGTGTTGGTGACAGCCGCAGCGACTTTGACCGTAGCCCCAAGCGATCTTGCCCAGAATGAATGTGCCAAACCCTCATCTAAATTAAGAAGTTCCCATAGTGGCTTAGAAATAAAAATATATGGAGTTATGATGGGCAGTCAGACATCGCAACTTAATCTAAGGCAGTCCAGGGTGGATTTCCGCAGCGACCTCATGCTTTCAGAAAGTGGGACTTCGCACTCAAAACAAACATTAACGCGATTTCGAAAACAGGACCAAGTTTCGATCGATAATAAATTGCAAGAATGCGACACAACCAAGACAACAGTCAGTTTCAAAATCGCAAGCAAAAAAGGAGATTTCCAAAACGATGCGCTAGACGTCATTCGCAAAATGACCGAATTGTCAGTCAAATGCTGTTTTCAAAGAATGGAGAGCCAATCAATGAGTGACGACAGAAGAACGTCCGAAAGTGGTCAGCGGACGGAAATCGTGCCAGCATTCCAATTTAAAGGACCGGCGCAGGAACTCGTGCTGGGACGCCTGCCGTCTGATCGTCCTCACGTTCTGCGATCGACTCGTGACGTTCGTCGATACTTCAGAAACGGTGAGTTCTGCTGCTGCCGTTCGTCAGTGACTTTCACCTGGGAGCGGCACTACGGGTCTTTCGTCCAGCTTGGTCATCCCGCAGCGTCTTTCAAAATGGCCGAGGAGTTTGATGATGATTTCCAAGACAACTCAGATTCGGGAAGCGAACTCGATGAGGAGGCAAGCTATTGCTTTAGTTTGTAAAAGATTAACGATCTAATTTTGGACTCAAACATCTCCTGAAGTGTGTTACATTTGTTTTTGTTTATTTAAGTGCAAAGAGATCGAAGTAGCTGTTGCTTCGTTGATTAGGACAGATATCCAAACCATTATAATGAAAAAATCACCTATGTTTTTTCCCCATTTTGCTGTGAAAAAACACGAGAGAAGTAGCAAGTTTTTGTCTTGACTTTTTCGCTGACAGCTTCAGAAACAAGGATTATTGGATTGAATTTGCAGTAAAATCAATTCTGTGGAAGCAGTATGATTGGGATCACAGCGCGTTACAGTTTAGGAAAGTTAACGATAGATATGTATAAGCTGTATGGTGCAAAGCACCAGACAATAATTGATTTCCTGTGCCCTCTGCTGCGCAACAGAAGTGCTGAAGATTTTTATTTTGCATATTTTTTCATAGTAAATAGCTATAAACTATAGCGCTATAGTGTAGCTTTAGTGGATAGTCGGCTGGATGCGAAGGCTACTTAACTGTTGGTATGCTTTCAAATTTGGTTTCACTTATGACTCGCTAATTTGCAGCGATGTTAGGTAAATAGAACCTTCATGCTAAATCTGCGTTAACCTTTTCTAGGTCTCATAATGTTCATACACCGTCACTCTCTGTTTGGAAAAATTCTTCATTCAATGCGGACGAGGTTTATGTTTGAGTTGACTTCATCTGTCTAATAATGGGAAGAGCTTATAAGATTTGCCAGTCCTCTCTCAACTTGTGGCTCGACTGAACGATCTTTCTCGCCGTTTTTGCCAATAAATTTCGCCATAGTTGTTGTGCAATAAAGTCCAATATCTTATCGCATCATGCTTTCATCAAACACAATGGTGTTTTTTATTCTGACTCATCCGTCTACATGAACAGTTCAACACATAAATGCGGTATAGCCGTGGCTGCAAAGTGCCATCGCGATAAACTAGAGATTGAAGATTTTGCTTCAGTTGTTGATAATTCTTATACTAACGTATGTGGGCATCTTACACACCTTTTTTATTACAACTCTATTCAAGGCCATAAGCGAAGATGATGGAATTGCCATGGAACAAGAAGATACGAGTCGTGAAGTCCTCAAAGAAACACCAAATTTGGAGGCCAAGGTCTGTGTAACTTATTAGATTTTCAAGATTTGGTCAAAGTCCATCCATCTGCTTTATCGTAAACAAATACTTGGGGCGATGTCAGCACAACTTTTTTGCAAAAGAAATGCTTTCAAAATACAAAGTATCTAAAAAATATGGCTGATGTTCGATTCTGAATAATATATCGCATCAAGAACATACGTTTCTGCGAGCACTATTTTGTGAAGCTGGCTTCAACTCAAGGTTATAGCAGGAATAGAGTCGTCTCTCTCTTCATTACCTCAAATAAGCCATTTTCATAGTGGCGTCTTCCTTAACTGCCATTTGCGGGAAAATCTCGAAACGCTCAAACTTTTTGAAGTACGATTCTCAGCTCACCGGTTCCACAGTTAATTTTTCTGTAATGCAGATCATATAGCGAGAGCAGGTTTTCAGAGGTTCTTTGGAATACCAGTCTCAGAGCCTACGGTGCTACCGGCAATGCTTACATCTAGAATTAGCGACCTCACAAGGGAGAGTCCTTTTGGTCGAAGTAGTCCTTTCACATGAATTTGATACTACTATAAAGAGCATCGAATTCCAAATTCATCTTTGTTATCTCCGAGCGCCTGTGGACGTCGAGCTATGAGCGTGTATTGAGTTGAAAAATCAAATGCAACAGAATTACAACAAAATTCGTCAGAGTTACTCAGACGGTCCAGTGTTGATTAGCAGAGCACTTTGAACAATACCTTTTGTTCAAAACGCTCATACTCAACGAAGCTCTATTTGAGGGCTGAAAAGACCGTAAAATTTGTTTACCCAGATTATAGTCCGTTTTCGCACCAAGAAAATATTTATAACTCGCATGCAAATGCGCTCGGCAGATACTGAAATCAGATTCTTGATCACTGTTCGATGCTCTTTAGAGTGAGGTATAAGGCTAATCGGACCTCCCTTGTCAGTTACTCTGTAGGAAAGTTTCTAGCTTATGATGGATATTTTTTTGCAAAATTTGCATAAACCTTTCTCTAAGTTGAAGCCAGTTCTATAATGTGATGCTTGAAGAAACGCAAACGCTTTTTTGACTTTCGTAGCACTTTTTCTGAACTCCCTTAGAGTCCGTTTCCAACGAAGGCGGACGCTCATATAAGGTTCGCCGGGCGCCGTCATGTCCTTTTTTTGCGCTTCAGACCCCTCAGTGACGACGAGACGTGGATGTTAATAAGTTATCAATGGCAATGGCGTTCACTGGCGATCGCCTATACCTGCAAATCCACACTGATAAATGCTTCCGTGAATCATTCGAACTTAAAGAAATCTATTCGAATTCATCTTCAAGGAACGATCCCAGCTTAATGTGGCGCACTGAAATGAATCGCATATAGACGATGCGTCTTGATGAGCTGATTCCAAATCTGTCTTCCACATCTGCGATGCGCCGCTTGGAGAATTGTATGAGCATCCATATTCAAAATTCTGCAAGCATCTAGGCCACACCTTCAAAAATTCGTTGTTTAGAAGCATTATCTGTATCACCGGTAAATGTGAGCATTTTCTTAAATTATCAGACTTAATTACATGCTGGTCACGCACTCTCAAGTTGGATTTTAAAGCACATCATGCATTGAAATCCCAGTGACTCCACATATTCAACTGCTTATAACTTTTTCCAACAAAAAAAAAACGGTATCGCAGATATGGAAGGTAGGTTTGAAATCAGCCCGTCAAGGATATCTAGTGATATGCAGTTCATTCCAATTCGCCACCTTAGGTTGGGGTCGTTCCCTTGTAAGACCCATCATAGGATATTTCGATTTTCTGACCCATTAGGAGCGCTGTTAATGGATCAGGAGTAGGTTTTTCTCCCAGTGACTGAACGATGCGTCCGCGTTCTCAGCTATTCTTTCCACTTTTTCGGTGTGGATTATCGTAGATCACTTTTTTCTCGAACATTGTTCTCTTTTAAAAATGATGGAGTTTTTGTGAGAATGGGATGATTTTAGCTGAGGACTATAAAGTGAAGATATACGCTACGAACGCGTGGTGCAAATTTTAGCGATGCGTCGCATTGTCTCTGAAGGACATACATTTAGAACTTCGGTGTAAGGACAGAAATCATGTCTGAGTCGTTTTACATGGCCAGAAGAGTTCGTTATTACCTTTTGTACATTCCACGCTGATTTTATTATGATTCCATTTCCACAGGCGTGCTGCTCAATGATTATCATCGAAAAATTGTTGATTGACATTTACGAAGCTTGCTTGCTTTGTCCACTTCTTAAACTAGGCGCAGCTCAAAATTACCTGATACTATATTACAACATGTGAAAATCGAAGTTTACAGGTCATGACGGTTGAGGATCTTGCCCGCGAGATGAATGACATCATAGAAGAAGTGTCGGCGATCTTGAGAATTGGTCATGGCCATTGCCGTATACTTCTTCATAAATTTAACTGGAATAAGGAAAGCTTGCTGGAGAGGTACACTCTTGTCTTCTCTAATTGCCAGTTTGTCTCAGTCCTTCAAAAAAAGTGTTCCAGGTATTATGAAAATCCGGACACTGACGCTTTTCTGAGGAAAGCCCAAGTTTTACCTCGTAAAGCTGCACCACCTCCAGTGTCGTCCGTTGGTGAATGCGAAATTTGCTGCAACACTGCCCCGCTTGGCGGTTTGGACTGCTATCATTGGGCATGTTCATGTTGCTGGCAAATGTATCTCAATACCAAAGTCAGTTTTTTATCGATAAATTTACTTTTCCGAGACCGTATATTGCAGATCATGAATGATTCTACCAGTGAGATTCAGTGCATATTCAACGGCTGTCAGTTGCTTGTACAAGATGAGAAAGTGAGTCATTGTAAAAAGAAAGCGTTGGATGAATAGATGTTGAACTGATTTTCAAAGGTCATGCAATATATCAAAAGCGAAGCAGTTCGTAGTGCCTATCAACGTTTGAAAATCAACAGCTTCGTGGAAGGAAACCGTCTTCTAAAATGGTGTCCTGGTCTCGACTGCGGAAAGGCGCTCAAGGTTGAGGTCCTAGCACTTGTTTCTTTGATAGGATGTTTGTGTTGTGTTTTGAGGTAATCACTTGATTTGTCATCGTCGTTGTATCATTTTACTCTCGCGTTTCCTTCACTTTCGATTCTTTGATTTTTTTTCCTCCAATGTCGAATAATTTCACATATGAATTTGCCGTTGATCTGTCCATTTCGGGTTGCGGAGAGTTCTTGAGTTACATAATTTGGCTATTTTTTCCAACATTTGACAGCGCGGTAGCGCAAAAACTTTCGCGCAAGGCAAATTACAATCTTTTGGTAACTACAGTCGCTTGTTGTTTTCTATGTATCATATTAGTCTAATGAGTAGGTAACCTCACCTTCTCTCTATCACATCATGAACGATACAAATTCGAAATCATTTTCAGGTCGGTTACTCGGAGCCTCGTCCTGTTGTATGCTCCTGTGGAATGCGATTTTGCTTTGGATGCGCTCATGAATGGCATGAACCAGTCAACTGTCGGCTGTTGAAACTTTGGTTGAAAAAGTGCAGTGATGATTCAGAAACTAGCAACTGGATCAACGCCAATACTAAGGAGTGTCCTAAGTGTCAGGTTAGAAATAACGTATGCAATTTTCAATTCACATGAAGTATGACCAGGTTACCATTGAAAAAGACGGTGGTTGCAACCATATGGTTTGCAAAAACACTGCTTGTCGCATGGAGTTCTGTTGGATCTGTTTGGGACCATGGGAACCGCACGGAAGCAGCTGGTATAATTGCAATAGGTGAGTGACATCATCTGTAAGTGCACGAGAAGCAAATATATTACTTTGCTCAAGGTACGACGACTCTCGCGCTAAGCAAGCGAGGGATGCACAGGAGCTTTCCCGGGCAAATCTTCAACGTTACCTACATTATTACAACCGGTTTATGAATCATCAACAGAGCTTAAAGCTTGAAAACAAGGTGACTCCCTATTCACTCTCTCAATTTGATGTTGATATGTGTCTGCTTCAGCTGTACACTACCGTGAAAGGAAAGATGGAATTGATGCAGGCGCATATGTCATGGATTGAAGTTTGTCCTTTTCTAATTGTAGAGTCTACAGACTGATTTGATATTCAGGTCCAATTTCTGCGTAAAGCTGTAGATGTTCTATCTGAGTGTCGCAGAACACTCATGTACACTTATGCCTTCGCCTATTACCTTAAAAGAGATAATCATGCCGAAATTTTTGAAGGAAATCAGCGGGTAAATGCTTCATCTGTAATTTAATTTGCTGTCTTGACTGTTGATGGCCAGCTGATCAGGTTGTCCATCTAGTTTCACTCCTAGATATCACCATTGTAGAATTGGCCGGCGATAATATCCATACTAATGTTTTTACAGGATCTTGAGATGGCGACGGAGCAGTTATCACAATTTCTTGAACGTGATTTGGAAAACGAAAATCTAGTCACTTTGAAACAGAAGGTATCAAATCGTCTTTTTATCATCGCATGTTGGACATTTTTTGAGGAGAGAGTTGATTTTAGGTACAGGACAATTACCGTTACGTAGATCAGCGACGTCTAGTCTTGCTTAAACATTGTCAAGAAGGAACTGAGCGAGATATCTGGCAATACACTGCATGAGTCACCTGCTGCTTGGTACTCACCTGCTCAGGGAGGTGCAAGTGATTCATTTCCCATGTGTGACTCCTAACAATGTATTCGTTTCATTTGAGCGAAATATAGCTGAGATATCCAAGAAATCGTAATATTCATTAGTTTTCTCAATACTTGATTCTCATCCGGGTCAGAACTCTTCCCCAAAAACGTGCTGTACCAGACATTTTGGGTGTCTCATGTCTTGCTAGATCAATTTTGCGCAGTTGTGCTATTCCCATCTTGTCTCAACGGCGTTGTTTTGTTTTGTACGGTTTCACCTTTCCCCCTTTCTCTTAGTTTGATTATGGCTGAAAGTTATTGCACATCGCTTCAATAGTAATTGCTGGTCAATTGATTGATAATGCAGTTCTTTCCTTGACTTTGCTTTTAGGATGTATTCCTAACCGATATCATTAGTTTTCTGATTTGTAAATATTCGTTTAAGATCACCTCTTCACTGATCCCTAAGGGTTAAATACTTTAATATTTCCATTGCAAAGTTGCCTTATCTCTTGAAGATTGATGTATAGATGATGAAGATTAATTTATGTTTTGCACACGCGCATCGAGAATAAACGTGCTGAAAGTACCGAAGTATAGGTTCACACATTTTTTACAGCTGCTGTTCAGCTCGAACATTTATGATGGAAATATAGGTTCTCAAAATCATGACGACGAATTCAGCTCCAATCTTAACGTCCATCCAAACATTGCAAAGGCGCGAAACACTCAAAGAAAACTATAATAATGCTTACCTCAGTTATCTTGAGAGTATCCAAGAATACTTTTCAGAATCTTCTGCCGGGTATTCAAGTATGGCGCAAAATTCCGAAACCATCCTGATAGAATGAGATGGTTTTTGATGGAGATATGATAAGGCAGCTTGTCCAGCAAGCTCAGGGGCTGATAGTTGCTATCCCCACCAACCTTCAGGATTCACGACCGGTATGGAAATCCTCGAGTGAAGTGCAACGCATGAGTTTTATATTCCACTGCTCTAGACGAATTCACTTCGCAAAAAGGCATGGAGAGCCGTAGAAAGTAATGGAATCAAGACGCTGCGAATTACCGCTAAGACATGCAGGTCTAAAAATTGTTGTTTGCGTGAAAACTTTGGTGCTCACTATGTTCACAGGTAAAGGATAGATCACTTGAAGGTAAATGAACAAAAGAAGTTCACAACTCTGGAGCGCCAAGTAGCAAATTTTTCTTTCATCTTCGCTACCCTCCCTTCACAAAATTATGTGGCCTGAAGATGTATCATGTTATACGAGTCGTACGAATCTTTTGCTAGAAATCTTTGTTTGATATTCAATGAATTGACAGATACGAATGATATAACCTGTAAAATAATTTAATGCATATTGCAGTCAAGCATGACAATATGAAGTACTTGACGTAGTACGACAATGTCATTCTACGAATGCAGCTCACAAAGTAAATTTCCACGGCTGCTAATGAAAGACAATGATATTTTAAAAGTCACTTCCTAAACTCACGTATTGCCACTACAACGTAACAGTCTATCGAGTCCAAAGAGGCGCTAATTCCAGCATCCGGGCACCAAAAACTTTTTGATAAGGATTTAGCTCATATCGATTTAGGGGGAGGGGGTATCCGACCCGCTGATGCTGAGTATCATATTGGTTTTGTACCATGGCGTGATTTTCCGGGATTAGGTGGGTACACGGTAGGAGGTCAAAATCACGGATCTCACTGAAACTTATCCCAAGGGTGTTATACGACCTGCTGATGCCGATATCATAATGGTTTCGTACGGCTGCGTCATTTTTAGGGTTATGGTGGTTTGCCTTTGGGTGTCGAAATCACGAATTTACCTGAAACTTGGCCCAGGGGGTTATTCGACATGCTGATCACAATCATCATACTCACGTTGCGTTTTGGGAGCTTTCCGCGGAGATAGGGTGGATATATGGTAGGGAGAAAAATTACAGCCCTCTCTGAAATTTTGTGCAAGGGGTTATCTGACCTGCTGCGAATATAATGCTTCACTTCGCAAAAAAAGCGTTCGCATGAATTTTATGCGTCATAAAGTGGCCCGAAAAGCGAAAATGTCTATTAATATGCTGCATCATCGTAATTCCACAATAAAGCGTCATTGCAGATAGCAAGCATGAATGAGTAATTAATATGCTCGCAAACCCTTCTTGGTAGAGTTTTGAGCAAATTTGAAATCTCGATCCTCCTACCGTACACCCACCGTAACTCAAGAAAATGATGTTATTTTGGGAAACCGCTGGACGAGGTTGAGCAAATTTGTAGTTTTTAGCCCACCGCAAATCCATTGAAAGGCCCAAAATGCGAAAAGAATGTGATATTCGAGACCAGCGCGTCGGATGAACCCGTGGGCCAATTTCAGCGAGATCCGTGATGTTGAGCCTCTACCACGTACCCACCGTAACCCCCGAAAAAGACGTTTTAGTACAAAACCAATATGATATTCGGGATCAGCGGATCGGATAAACCCCCTAGACCAAGTTTGAGCGAAATCCATGCAAAAAATTTTGGGCCCAGACACTGGAATAGCGTCGAAAAAATTTTCGAGTCTAGAAAACAGCAGTAGAATATGCAACAGTGCAAGATATTTCTATAGACACTGGAGTGTTACATATGAGAAGGTAGTCGGAAAAAACTCTGAAAGAGTGAATTATTATGATAAGCTAGATACTTGGAAATCGCTTCAATTATGATACAATGCGGCGAACCTTCTTTCGAGAAGCATACTATGGATATATGAATGCGAAGATGTTAACTCGTTTTCGTGTTGAATCCTTCCTTTCTGAACAGTTTCACAATGTTTGAGAGACAAAAAAAAATTTATTAACATGTCGCCAACCTGGTTCGAAACTTTATACCACTGATCTGCAAGTTGACTCTTCTGTCTGGTGAACTTTGGTACTTCCTTGGGAGATTTCTTCCATTTTTTCCTCAATTGCCTTCCTCATTGCATGTATGCGTTCTGCATCGTTATTCTTCAGAGACCTTTTCATTTCCTCCACCATTTGAGCGACCACCTGCAGTTGGTTATTTAAGCAGATGTTGGACGAAGTAGAGTATGCATACAGCGTCAAGTTGGTTGAACTCATCCTCCACCCTACTGAGCGGATCGCCGGAAGAGCAATTTTCAAACGTAGATGGTGAAGCCGGAGACATAGTTTCGCATTCCTCGGGGACGTCATCTCTCACGAACTGTCGATGATGCTGTCAATAAAGTGATGGTGAGAATCATAAAAATGCAATCTGTACGAAAATGACATACGATGAGCTCTGTAGGAAGCTTTAACAGCCTTCTGTGCTGTACATCGTTCGCAGGTGTTCGAAGAGCTTCTGTTGTTATTTTGTGTCCCAGATGACCTGCGCAATATTTGTAGTGAACAAAGCCTTGAGTGTCTTCAAAAACCTGGGGAACAGTTATCAACGGTCTCATTAGGTGTGCATCGTGATACCTTGAGAAAAGCGGGGCAGTCCCGATGAACTTTTACACTTGTTCTGTATGCCCGCTTGAGAACCTTGGGATCAACGACGGCTCCAGTCCCTCCCGAGAATCTGCAGCGCAGATACACTATCTTTCCATGCGGAGTGCACCGAGATGTTCGAGTTGAGAAATTTGTACAAGTGATATTCTCAACATCGTTCAACCACGTCTACAACAATGTATGATAATTGCTACTTTCAGAGCGACTACTCATGGTAACCTCAAATTCAGTGCGGCTCGCAAAGGTTCCACTTCTTACAGCGAAGGTGCCATGCGCGCTATTCCCACGATCATGCTCGGAATTGCAATGCACTGCCAACTCTTCCACGGTGTGCAATTTTTTCGAACAAGCGGGACATGTGATTGTTCCTTTAACAGCAAGCTGGTGCACTTTCTAAATAACGAGTAATTGAGTAAACAGAGCGACATAGAAAGTCCTCTATTTTGATATCACCTTGTTGTGCAACCAAAGGCCGCTGCGGGAATAAAACTGTCCTCCACAGACACTGCATGCAAATGACCTTCGGTCTACCTTGGATGCTCTCCCAATCTCCTTCTTTATGGCTTCAAGTTCCTCTTTTTTGATATGATGAACGTTGCGATAATGGGCGTATAAATGGCAACGTTTCATCGGTCCTCTACCACACCGAGAACAACTGTATTTCTTCACATCCTCCTGAGATGTCAGCTTTCTCGGAGCTAAACATATGAAATTTCCAGTCAATAAATAGCAAGGAATTATAAGCAGAACATTTGTGAAATTTCACGACACTTAACGTTTACAAACTTCCAAATGCTATGCGGTGAGGCTGACTACTTAGTCGCACGCATAATCCAGAAAGGAAGAGGTGCAGAGCTAATTGTAAGAAGAAAGCTAACATGTAATATGTACATACCGATGCTCTAGAAAACTGTATTTTGCGATGATAACCCGTCTGATCTTTCTCTATGGCCCAGGGCAGAGTTCACGCGATTTCATCGTTGCGATTCACGGCGACAAGACAAGTGTTAGGAGGTCATTGTATGCCCATCTTGTATTTCGGTTGTGACAGTCAGGTAGGCGCCACACTAAGCGACTGTTTTGTTCAGCTGCAGAAGGCACGCAGAATCAACATTAATTTTGTACGGCCCTGCAGCTGGAGCAGGAAATCGTGCGCAGATTCAATGTTGACTCTGCGTGCAGAGGTGCGATAGTCGGAGCCGATTCTCCGCCTACCTTCACTTTTGAGCTGGTACAGGGTGACCACCTTCACTTTTGGGTCTGAAAATTTTTTTTGCTAAAGCTCAAAAGAAGGAAAATAAGCAAAAGGAATGTAAAAGAAAGTAATAAGAGCATATATCTATGTAGTAGGTCGATTCAGGCAGTAACCGCCGAGAACCTGAATTTCGAATGATAAAATAATGAAAAATCGTTAAAAATCATTCCACTGTTACAAATCTGCTGGCTGAAGACCTCCGCAGTTGCGACTTCATAGGTTTTGAAGGGTAAGTGTTGTTCTACCAGACAGTAAAAAAATCAGTTTGATTCGACGAGTGGCCGCCGAGAACGAGAATTTTAAAAACCCTTAAAAATCTTCTTAATTTTAGGTGCTTAATGACAACTAACATTTAAACTCTTATAAATCCGGACTTTGAAGGTGTGTGATGTTGCGACTTCATAGATTTTGTAGAGTGAGGTTTGCCCTTTCAGAATATGTCTTAGCTGTACCGATCCATTGAAACATCGCCGAGATCCAGGCTCTTAAAAAAGCGGGTAAAAAACCGTTTTTCAGCTCATAACTTCTTCGAAACTGCATAAATCATGTTGCGACTTCATAGGTTAGATTCTCCTCTTCAAGAGCTTTCAGATGGTATATAATATGTGGGGGATTCAATGTTTCTTGCGGCTCTAACCCGAGGTGGAGTACTCCTCTTCACTAATTCTCCACCCCGCCCATTTCAATGTATTGGCGGGAGGCCACCAGTGGAGAATTAGTGAAGAGAGGTACTCCACCCCGGGCATATGCCGTGGGAGGCGTGAATCACCCACATATTATATATCATTTGAAAGCTCTTGATGAGGAGAATCCAACCTATGAAGTCGCAACATGAATTATGCAATTTTGAAGAAGTTATGAGCTGAAAAACGGTTTTTTACCTGCTTTTTTAAGAACCTGGATCTTGGCGATCTTTTGATGGATCGGTACAGCTAAGACATATTCTGATAGGGCAAACCTCACCCTACAAAACCTATGAAGTCGCAACATTACACACCTTCAAAGTCCGGATTTAAGAGTTTAAATGTCAGTTGTCAATAAGCAACCTAAAATTGAGAAGATATCAAAGGTTTTTTAAAATTCTCGTTCTTGGCGGCCACTCCTCAAATCAAACTGATTCTTTCACTGCCTGGTAGAACAACACTTACCCTTCAAAACCTATGAAGTCGCAACTGCGGAGGTCTTCAGCCAGCAGATTTGTAACAGTGGAATGATTTTTGATTTTTCATTATTTTATCATTCTAAATTCTGGTTCTCAGCGGTTATTTTCCGCGCACTAACGCAATGATCTGAAAGGGTAGATGTTAATGCCCCCCTCCCCCGGTCAACGTTTTTGGGAGGTGAGTGTCCGGCACTACCACCTTCACTTTTGGCCGGCCAGTGGTAGCTGGGACCACCTTCACTTTTGGTGGGTCCGGCTCCCCCCATCGCACCTCTGTCTGCGTGCCTTCTGCAGCTGAACAAAACGGTCGCTTAGTCTGGCGCCTACCTTAGCACAATTAGTCGCGTAGGAAAACTATCACAGCCAAAATGCAAGAAGATCGGCATGCGATGATATTGTTACAGTTGTCCTGTTACGATAAATAGCGACAATAAAATCGCGTGAACTCTGCCCAAGGCCTATGACTGTCAACGCAAAAGCGCATTGTGAGACTGTCCGCAATTTTCATGTGGTTATGTTCCATCGCTGATTTTTCGCGGTAAGCCCCGTTTCATTTGGAACCATGTAACCTTCCACAAAGCTTGAAAAGCGCAAAAATGTGTTTGTACTTACACCAACAGTGATAAGTTTCGAAAAAAGCAAACTGAATATTAACTTGATGAGAAAACCTCAATTTCGATACCCTAAGTCCCTGAAGCTCATATTTCACTTTCATATTCCATATGTCCCAAAACAAATCTCTTTCAAAGTCAAAAGATTTTAGAAATAAGACAAATTGATTAACACGCATCATGGAATACACCAAATATGGCGAATTATATGACGATGCGCTTTAGGATTGTTAAACGATCTACACTCACTTGAAGATGGAGCAATATTAAAGTAACGAGATCTCTACTAGCAGTTTTCTTTCAGAGGCAAAGGCACGGCCCCACGCAGTGGAGCGGTGAGATCCTACGCAAAGTGGATAAGGACTGAGTAACTGACCACGCTCCGCTGCAAAAGATAGTCCAGAACAGAAAAATCGCTACAGATTGTACAAGAAGAACCAGAATCCCCCCCCCCCCCCTCCCGTGGTCAACCTGGATTATCTGAGATATATGTCTGGGGGTAGACTTTGAAGTTATTTATGAAGAAGATGATCTCACTCTCAGGGATGAATATTGGCATTTCAAGATGTAACGAGCCCACTTTCGAGCTTACCATCTTCAGACCAGCCAAATTCGACTGACTTATTAAAGGTCCTTACATTACATTCGGTTGCGATTCTCTCCAGACTCGCCTTCTGCCGCAAGACTGAGCAATCACTGTTTAGGGCCCGCTCCTTCACTGCTATTGTAACGCATCAAAATAACATCATGCAAACATGTAGATAATACTTATGTATGCAGCCCTAATAATTCAGCCTAGGATAACGCGAAGTTCTCCAAACGAGAACCTGAAGTTAAGCGAGCGTTGGCTTAATCTCCGTATAGTGTACCAACAACAATCCACTCAAAATAAAATACCAAAGTTGAGATAAACTCATAGTGGGATTACCTTCATTGCTGCTGACCCGCCAGATTCTTCTGTTACCAGCTGTCGGGAGGGAATTATCTCCTAATCTACTTTTGCTGTAGTTCATTTGATGCGTTCGATGTTCTTCATCAGCTGAAGATGACGTTGAGGGTATATCGTATGTGACTGCATCGGCACTCCTTCCTGCGTATATGCAATGTTACGAACGAGTGATATTGCACAGAAAGTTCTGCTGCAATCGAAACATACCACCAACGACTGCGAGCATATCTTGACTTTGTTCGCGTTGAAATGACGCCTCATATTCCTCAAATTCAAGTTATGTAGTATCTCAGAATACCAAAATGGAGTGAGTATTTAGACGATAACGAGATAAATGTCTTTAATCCACATTCATAAAAGAATGTGCAGAAAAAGCACATACTTGTCTACTACGTCGAAATGAGAGGTTAGCAGTCGGATACCTAGTAACGAATCCGTGGGTTCGCAAGGAGGAGACAATACTCCCTTCCATTCCAGATGTCGGTGCTTCAGGAACTAGAATTTTTACTTTGTCAAACCACTATGAGTGAACTCTGACAAGACTTCCCAGCTATCAAAAGGGAGTAGCTTCTCAGCTCTACTTTTTAATAGAGGTTTAGAGACCTCACTTCGAAACAAGTGTCTTTCATATCCCCCTACTTTGTGAATGTGAGGAGTTTTCGCACCAACTGCAGTGGGGTGCACGCGGAAGGCGACAATCGGCGAAAAACGGAGGCTGTGTATTATCCGTCTCAATGACTTTCACGGATTTCTACTTGTGGCAGTGAGTAACGTATCTGCCCCCACCCCCAACCCTCGTAGTCCCCCGGGGTATCACTTTGACACCAGAAAGTTTTTGACAGGCACAAAATTGGGGATTGTCGCCTTCCGCACCACACCCAACTGCAGTCTCTTTGCAAGGTGTGCAACTAAGGAATATCACCAACATCCATTTTGGTATGTACGTAGAATATCGCACCGTTTTCAACCGTTTTCATTACCAACGGCCCTCAGCTCCTGTTCGGTAGAGGTATGGGACAATACCCGATGATGTACCATAGGACAGAAATTCCAAAGAAGAGAGTATAACAAGTCTGAACATTGCTCACCATCTTCATACACGTTCCTCTCCTTGGCATACGAATGCATGTCAATCCTGGTACTTGATTTCCTGCTTGCCATTTTTGCCTAAAATGTGTGATTGATGCACAATCCCACATATCTAAACGCCGTCTAAAAGTTGAGTGGCAAACTATGAAACTATAGAAACTAACTATGACTATAAAATAACCACCTATAATAACCTATACGGCAGAAGAAAAGTACAGAAATGAGTGACAAACTGCTTTCCATAAAAATAAATTGGGAGAGTAACGCATACAAATTGTGCCTACTCACGTCTGTCACGCTCTAGGAGCCAATTGTTGACCTGCAGAAACTGTAGCCGTCGAGCGTGTCAGCGCAGGAATTCTTCAAATTGCTTTGACTTTTTCTTCCTCATAATTCAGTAAAGTCGGAAAGCTCTGCTGTTGTTGTTTGACTTGCATATAGTACATATTACATTTTTACTATTGCAACTACTTGCTCTGATAAGAGGGAATGGACTTCTTCACCGTTTCGCATTTGCTTCACTTTCGAAAAAGAAGACGAAGTCGCCCATAAATGGATTCTCTAATAACATCTGTGACTATTGCACAAATCATCTGTCATTTTAAATGGACAAAGATAGGCGATGGGAGTTTGACTAAACCTCTTAATGGGAAAAATGTTTCTAAATAAATGAGATGGGCTACGTCCTTCCAGAGGGACTTTTACGGTGCCAGACTGTTGTTTTTGTATGGATGTTATTATTTCGGAATATTAATCTGATGATATTTTCGATGCATTCTTGATACTCTTGGAATAGCCAAGAGCTGGATACTCACAGATCGGCAAATATTTACAGTTTTGATAAAAGGCTCATAAGAAGGCATCAAGATGTCGCTCGCCGAAGAACTTATGGCTGATTTCGAGGAGGATGACGCGGATGAGTTGGAGCAAGCTATGGAGGTAAAAACTTACAGTTGCATTAAATGGTACTACTGTTTGTATTTAGTGTTGTAGGCTGCTATCAAGAAAGAAGAAGACATAGAGGAGGCCACAGAAGCTGTACCTGGGAAAAGTGAATATAACTCAGTGTACGATGTGGCAAAGATGACATTATCGGATGAGTACGTTTTATTTGTTTTATTGGCAATCTTGAGCAACATTTGTACTGTAGATACAAGGAGTTGATCGCTGCATTACACCGCGAATTCGAACGAAAAGAGGAAGTTCACGTTACGGCCCCATTGGAGGCAGATCCTCAGTACATCCTTATCGTGAAGCTCTCACATGTAAGTTTTCATATTCCGTTCCAATCATCATTTTTTTCCCAATTGTTATCATCAAACAGCTTGCCGCTGACATCGATGGCGAGATCAGTGTGATCCACAAATTCGTTCGTGACAAATACGAGAAGCGTTTTCCCGAGCTTGAGACTTTGGTGCCGAATCCTTTAGAGTATTTAGCTGCTGTGAAGCTTCTTGGAAACGAAATCAACACTAAGGGGCAGAACAAGGTAAGCTTTTGCATTGCTATCTATCAAATCTTCGGATTGATTTGAGTGTGTGTTATGGCTTTTTTGAGGTCGTTAGAAGTTTCTATTTGACAATGTACATGAATACTCTTTTTCTTTTTTTATGCCTTGATCTGCTTGCGAGTCATCGATGTAGGCAATGCCTTTTGTTCTAGGAATTGCTAAGTCAAATTCTTGCACCTGCTACTTGCATTGTCGTGTCGGTGACAGCTTCAACAACTCAAGGCAAATCACTGGAACCAGAAGAACTGAATGCTGTGCGAGAAGCATGCGATCTTGCCGAAAAGCTGCATACGGTATTTTGACGTTGGTTTATCCGCGTCTGTTTGACGAATTTCTTTTCTAGGACAGGATCTCCATGTACCGACTGATTGAAGTGCGAATGTCTTTGATCGCTCCAAACCTCGTTCATTTGCTGGGAGCAGCCACTACCGCGCTACTGGTAGGGGTATCTGTTTCCGGAAATTTGGTAATTATCGTTTCCAGCGTGATCCTTTTCAGGTGTCACAGGCTGGTGGATTAGCTCCTCTGTCGAGAATGCCAGCTTGCAACATTCAAGTTCTTGGCCGCCAGAAACGTTCGCTGGCTGGATTCTCGTCTACTGCAGCCCTACCGCATGCAGGATTCGTATATTTTCATCCGCTTGTGCAGTCTATGCCTCCTGACCTGAAGGCGTGAGTCAGTTTGATAGCTTATTGCTTTTATGAAGACAACCTCCATTATGAGGACATAATGTTTATCAGGAGTTGTCCTAGTCTCGCCGATTTCCCCTTCTCAATGCCTGAATGAAAAGCTTACGAAATTCTCACACTAAGTCTTGGTGCAGTTTATCTTTTCATGATGGAGTTAACTATCTATCTGAAATGTTATCTGCCTTTATTTTTGAAGCTTACAGTCAGATCCCTTCGTAGCGCTTCCATACTATACAAAACCGATACCAAAAATCTGGCAGCTAGAAGGCCATAGTTTGTGGCCTTTTTTTGGGTCGTGCTTCGAAATGGGCACCACACAAACGCTTATCATGAAGTTTTGATGTAGTTCGTTACATAATTGTGCTGTATGAATATCTTCGGGCAGAAACGGAACAGCATATCCTGAGGTATTATAAGTTCACATAGTGTATCTCGCTGTATATTCTTTTGAATGATCTAAATGGAGACAGCAGCTATAGTGTAGAGTGTTTGCTTGAAATCCGTTGCTCACGAAAGCAGGAATATATTTATGAATGCTTGGCAGTCTACGTTACATATTTTAGAAAAGCCGCCAAAATTCTTGCAGCTAAGTGCACTCTTGCTGCTCGAGTCGATTCCCTTCATGAAGCACCTGGAGGCAGTATTGGGATGCATTTGCTGAACCAAGTCCGGTCTTCTGTCATCATATTAACATTTTCGCTAATGTGTATAACTCACAGGTGCGCACCAAAATGGAAAAACTGCTGGAGCCTCCACCCGTCAAGGCTAGTAAAGCTTTACCGAAACCTTTGGATAAGGCCAGCAAAAAGCGAGGAGGTGCTCCTTTTTCTGATTCTATCCATTAGTGCACTATTGATTTATAGGACGTCGTGTGCGCAAGATGAAAGAGAGAATGGGTATGACAGATTTGCGCAAGAGCGCGAATCGCATGAATTTCGGAGAGCTCGCTGAGGATGTGCTACAGGATCACATAGGTTTTGATCTGGGTCAAGTTAGTTTTCTCAAGACACTTTCTTTGCGCTGGTTTTTGCCACATAATCTTGTTTTTCCACGCATTTCCCACCTCCAAAATGTTTTCTCATATTGTTAGGTTAAAACTGGGAATATCGCTGGTGGACGAATTCGTGCTGGAGTTGTAGACAACAAGACGCGTGTGAAGATGTCGCAGAAGATGCAGCGGCAAATGGAACGACAACGAGCACTAGGTGGCGTTACCAGCATACGTAGCAAGGTGATTGTTCACTTATTCGTTTCTTTGAATATGAAAGCTTTTTCGGAAGTCAAAATTTTGCTGCTATAAGCAGCAATTGTGCCCCCGATATTACATAGAAGATGAGAATAATGGACGAAAATAATCCTGCAAATAGTTTTTTTTCGTAGTAGAGAGGGAGAAGACGTTTGCGAAAAAACACCATTTAACGAGTATTCTGTAAGGAAATTCTGTTCTGGTTTTTTGATAGTCGAACTAGCGAGTACCGAAAGCCGATCAGATCTTGAAGAGCTTTTCCATTTTGAAACCTGTTATGTTTCTGATCCACAGAATTTCATTATTGATATACGTTGACTTATCTACTTGTATATTTCTGTTTATTCTTTGGTACATCTAAATCACGATTTGCATAGTTTTCTCTTTAGACTGTATTTTTGCGCTTCGTTTCTTCATTGACGAATTGGTTAATTGATAATTTTCCATAATAGTCAACAGTTTCATCACTCGTTTTAGACTGCTGGTACCGCTTCGTCTGTAACATTCACGCCTGTGCAAGGACTAGAAATCATCAATCCAACAGCTTTGGAAAAGACGTCTACGTCGTCTTCAACATACTTCTCCTCCTCCGCTTCATTTGTGAAGGTTGCCACACCCGCATCAACGAAATGAAGTATGCTATTGACATGGATCCGGGATCTCAGGTGTTTTTCTGTTCACTGCAACTTGTTAGATAATGTTTGTTATTCAAAGTCGTGGGCTTCAGCCATAAGTTTGGCTTCATTTTTTGTTCCTATCATAACTGGCTATATCAGAGTATATGAGTAAGTTTTGTACAGTTATGTTGCTCGAGTGGTGCGTAGCCTGACCGTTCACTAAAGTCTCCTGCTTTCTTACTGTCATCCAGTCGTGTCCTCAGTTATCGAGGTCAATTTCGAATCGTTTGTTCAAGAGTTTACCGAGTATAAACATAAGATGAATATGTGTTTGATGTCATAAATTAACCACCATCGCAACGATAACATCAAAGTCACTCCTACCAGTGCGAGTCTTTGGAAAGACACAAGCAGTCCCAAAGACTTACCGTACAGCCAGGCGCTTCCTTCCCTGCTCCCGAGAATGGTCGTGACATAGTGGCTTGCGTAAGTGATAGATTTGCTAAGTAGTGTTTCTGTTGAATTGATGCAAAACAATGCATGTGTCATGCTAGCACAGCAGAGTAAAAAAAAAGAAACATTCGATAGAACTCCACATTATCACGTTACTCTTACAAAGATGATCAATGTGAAGTTAGGACCCGCAATCCAAATGTTATTCGTAAATTGATTCCGTTTAGAAGAATCCTACGAATGTCCAACTTGCTCAAGCAACTTTGCGCAGACATATGCGCAGTCATCGTTTCTTTTTATGGCTAGACTTCGAGTAAATAAGAGTTGGCATGCTCTAGCGAAAACAATACTGAGCTGTTCTCACATAGGTATCTCTATACACAAACCTTTGCAAGCACATCCATCAATTACCTTCTAGATAAGTGGAAATCCCAGGATTTCTGTTCGAAGGAGGAGGGTTGGGGGCAGTTTTTTTTTCCAAATGACTGTGTGTGGCGTCAGCTATGCACTCTGTAAATTTTGCTTCCGCATTTTTGCGGGCCCATAACTTTTTTTAAAAAATCAATTTGATTATTACGAAAATAAGCACTTGCACATTTTTGTAACTCATGTAGATAAGTAATTTCCAATTCCGTCCGCCAGTGTCTAGAAGCTCTTATTTCTTAGAAACATAAGATTCAGCTCAAACAGCCATAAAATATTTTGGTTTTATCTTATATTTTCGTAAAATCCAGCCAAAAAATACAGCAAATGTACATGTTGATGTCTGATGTGAAGAGTATATACGTTTAGGCTGATCGGAGGTCTATAGGGCTTTTTGGACGGAGACCCGGTTTTATGTTTGAGAGTTGTAAATTTTGGCTACAAATTTCGCGTAGACTGATCTTTATGCAAAAGTTTGAGGTCATCTTGTGGAGCTCGCTTCACTCTATCGAGCAGATTGATTTAATTTTTCTACGCTGTGCCTCTAGCATAGAAATATTTTTTGAAAATTTCGAAAATTCAAGTTAACGCTCAGAAACTGGGAGAGGAGAAGAAGTGCTGTGCTGTCTGTGCTTTGGCTTTCTTCGTTATCCAGGAAATAGCCTCTTCAAAAATTTGGGAAACATCGTAAAAATATATAAGGGAAAATTTGCTCATCCGAAAAAGAAAATTGTTGGACCCTTCAAAAATCGAACCACCATTCCGTCGATACATGCAAGTGCAAACAGAGTGAGATAATGTCTATCTTAGTATTGTGTTGTTTCTATGACTGTCTCATGTATAGGCTGCTGCATGACGAAGGCGCAATGTCTTTGGGCGCAAACGCGGCTTTATTAGCCGCAGAGCGCATGAGGCGCAAGATCTATTAGGTTGATGCATAATTCCTGCACCAAAATAGGTACAGACCGCAATAATCCGCAATAATCTTGTATCCCAAATAGGATTCGATATATCATTAGATAGAGCAAACCTAGCTCTACAAAATAGTGCTCAAAGATTTGCAGCAGCTTTAATCCGAGCGAAGATTGAAGCCAAAAACGAAAAAGATCCAAGCGCCCTAAAAAACCAAGAAAAAATTGGAAGTCCGTTCAGAAAAATCCTTTAAAATCCCCAACATGCTCATGCATTGTCATTTCATATAAGACATCTCTCTATGCAGTTGCTGTATTTTTCTCTTAGCTAGAAATTGAGAAAACGAAGTTTTTCATGTTTTTTCCAAAGTAATGCTGAAATGTTCTAGCACTGACAGTTGGATACTATAGGACCTTAGAAGCTTGAATGTGAATTTTCAGCTCTTTACAGCAGCTAGTTTACGAGAAATATCGAATTTTTTAGCAACTAGGCAAGAAAAATTCGGATAAGAAGAGCTAGATTCGTCATTTCTCGTGAACTAGCAGTTTTAGAAGGCTGAAAATGTAAAGTTTTACTACTAACGGCATGTACTATACAACTGTTAGTGCTAGAACATCTCAGCACTAATTTGGCAAACATGAAAAACTTCGTTTTCTCATCGTCTAGCTGAGGAAAAAATACAGCAACCGCATAGATAAATGTCTTACGTGGAATGTCTACGCGTGAGCAAAAAAGAAATTTTGTAGGAGCTTTTCGAAAGAAATTACAATTTTGTTTTGATTGGTCTTAAGGTTTTCGAACGCATGGTTTTTTTCAGTTTTCGGCTCAAAACTTCGCGCGAATCAAAGCTGGTGCAGATATTTGAGCACTGTCTTGTAGAGCTAGGTTTGCTCTATATAATGATATATCGAATCCTATTTGGGATATAGGATTAGTGCGGATTATTGCGACCTGTACCTATTTTGGTGCAGGAATTATGCATCAACCTAATACAACGGTGAGGATGCGCGCGCGTCACGTTCGCGCCCGCTCAAACGATACTGCTTCTGCGCTTTCGTCATGCAGTAGCCTTTATGTAACAATACCACTATGAGTTGACACAATGTGGTTATCTCCACATGCGCCGTTCCAGCTGGTCGTTTTCCGTTTCTATGCTATTCTGTATCTTATGAAGATGAGAAGTTTTGCCAAAATAAACCAGCCCGCTGAGATGGGTATCGCTTTCGCTGTGGAGCCGTTGCTCAAGATTCTCTAACTGCACTCCCTTTTTTATAGGGACTTCCGATCGCTCGAAATCACTTTTCTATTGCATCGCCAAAAACACTCATAGCGCCAAGATTTCTCGACTAACTACGTGATCAGTATTATTGGGTGTTTAACTAAGAAATAATATGGTCTCTAATAACTGAGAGGATAGGCTTTTTTGTGCTTGACATTCTTGCATCGTCCAGTTCTTGAAGATCGTCTGACGCTCTCAAAAAGCCTACTAGTAATATACAGCAAGTCATTCCAATTTTGAAACATCTACCTGTAGTTAATAATTAGGTGTGTAGCGGTTTCATTTATGCGCGGATGCATCTCTAAGCAAATTTATCTACAAGTAGGATGTTGGGATTTGGAAGTGAATGACGGCAATGTTGCTCGCGCACAAGCATTTCACGCCCCTAAAAGTCACATAAATGTCGGTTCGATACCATGGAAGGTCTGCACATAAGTTTAGCTTGGTTAATATCTAGGCACATATGAAAACCCTGGTTCAAAACGTGCTTGAAGGCATCGGACTTCCTATGGCTTGGAAGTGTCTCATGTGCACTTTCAAATCTGTCTTCCTCTCTATCAGTTGTGTTGCAACTGTGTTCGCTTGAGAATGTAAATAACTACCCACCCCTTAGGCCCCGGACAGACTTCACGCGACTTAATCGTCGCGACCTAATCGCCAAGATTTCCATTCATTTTCATTTCACATTCGAAAATTTCGGGCTGGAAAAGTATCACAACCGAATGCAAGTTGATTGACATGGAATGATGTTGTAACAATTGTCTCGTCGCGATTCAGTCGCGACGATCAAATCGCGTGAAGTCTGCCCGAGGCCTTACCTGGGAGTGCTGGAAATTGGTCAAAAAGTTTGAGTTTCTAAAAGCTAGAAACGCGTTTGGCGGCAGGTCTATGCAAGTCTGTGATGTGGCGCGAATGTGATAATAAGTAGTATAATAAGAACACCTAAGCACCAAGTATGCATGAGATTGCATCTCTATGGAGCTGAGTCCTGTGCTCTCGAAGTTGTTTCCTCCACCGCCTGGTTCACAAACGCCACCTCAGGTGAGCAAAAGCTCTGACATGGCGGAGTCTATGAGGAGTTTTGCAGATCCCGAGAGCTCAATATGGTTATCCAGTACCTCCGGCTCTACGGCCTCATGCTGGCCCACCTACCGGGATAACTCTCCCGAATGCGTTGTCGATGCTCATGCTGCGTTCGAATCATGCTTCGCACGTCAGCAATAGCATGCAGAACCAGAACAAAGCAAGGGTTTCGATGTTTTATATGCAAGATGTCTAATTGGTCCCACTCCAGAGCTCGAACAACTTCGAAATTCATCCGTTGCACCCAGAGATACGCCACGTTGTGCCACCTGCAAATCCTGTGAAGTCACCGCCCGAGGAGATGCGGAAGAAGAAGCGCAACCCGCATAACAAGGCTCGCGCTACTCAACGCCAGGCGAATGCGAACTCGACTATGCTGCTGTCCGATGCTTCTTCAACATCCAATCAAGTGGTAGGTTTTCCGAAAAGCTTGCATAGTTTGAACGTGGTTTTGCTAAAGTATGTTGACTCAAATGCCATTCACAGTGAAGAGCATACAGATACAGCAATGAAAAACGTCTATGTGTTTAACGGCAGCAATTTGAAACATCCTGATAACTCTACTCTCTCCCCCCATCCCACTTTTTGCAGTTGAGTTGCTTTCCAATTTCTAGATGATGTCGATCCCGCTTATGACATCATCATTTGCTTGGAGCCATGGTTCTAGTCAAGCTGTTACCTGCTTCGATTGTCATTACTTACTTTGCTTGCTCACCTTCCTACAAAAAAAAGAGAACGAGCTAACTGATCTTGACACACTCTTCGGTGCAAATCGAGCCAACGATTAGCCTTCGCTGTAACCCAGTCTCCTTTTCATTCCATTTCAAACTATGATAAAAGGTGACACCTTTGCAAAACCATCCATGTATTTCCTGCTTTCCCTCTTTTGGATGCAATGGAGCGGTATAAGAAAATTTCAAAATTATGTGTTTGAAAGTAAATTATCAAGATCGGAGTGGTTTTGCAGAGGCTAGCAGTACGCAGCAATGTTATGCACATGCTTTTACTGAGTTTATAACTTCGTCAAGATCGCTTGACATTGACCTGAAGTTTTTGGGTCACAGAACGAACCTAGACTTTTGGAAACCTCAAAAATTGAAGTGCTATCTTTTTTGGAAGATTTTTAAGGTGATGACGCAAAGGATGCATACGAATTTTGATATGTCGGAAAAAATGACCACTTTTCCCCGTATCATGTAAACTTTATTAGATAGGTTGCAGTAGAAGGGATTTTGCGTTATCTCAGTGGCTCCATAACAGTGGTTTGTTTTGAAAATACTCATTGTTTCAGCTACTTCTATTCAGTTTGACCACTTGCAATTAAAAGTGCTTGACTGAATACCTGAACATGATGCTGCGGTACATAAGGGGTGGTTCAAACCACTGTACATGACTCAGTTGCTATGTATTTGATATCTGCCTAACAGACCCTTTCATGGATCCTATTGTGCATGGAGGAGCGAATGCCTGTCATGGTTGTAAACATAGCTGCGCAACAGATGTGGCCATAATTTACCACAACAATTACTGCCGATGAGCATTTGACATTCGCTGAGCACCGAAAATTTCCCCAGAGGCAGAAATCAGGGACAGACGTTGTTGTTCATGATCTTTTCATTACCCGTCTCTCATCCTAGGTAGTTTCCTCGACAAACGCTCCTGGGGGAGGCACAATCGTTTCTTCACGCGATGAAAAAGGCCAGATCCACGTAAGAGTTGAATACGATCGAAGCCAGGTAAGTGCTATCTGAGATTTGTGCTCCTTCCAGAATAAGAACCAGTTCTTGCAGATCCTTCGCTCCGCTCACTCACCGTACTCACTTCTGCCACCAGCATGTCTGAAAAGCATCGTTCTGAACACATCCGAGATTCTGAGTCGATTTCCGCAGAGACACGGAATTAACCTTCAAACTTCGTGCGAACTGACCGCATGACGCCCCCATCCAGCCAATGAACCTAGCTGGCACTTTCGATGCTAATGATTGAGGCTGTTGACTTTCTTGTGCCATTCCACTTGTGTTGTGCTATTGTTTTTCTCTCTCGAGTTATTGAGCTTAACGTAAAATAAATGGTAGCATCGAAGCACTTGTTTCGTGCATGTGTTCGGCAATTTTTAGCCTGACTCCATCAATCCCCGCTTGTAGTACTGACCAGCTGCGGTTTGTACTCACAGTAAGACAATGCATGCTGCACTGCGGAAAAAATGGTGTTTTCGGTTCTGTCTTAAAGAAACTGAAGAGATATTCTAGAAAAATCGAAGTATGGTCAGCTCCCATATTCGGGTGGAGGTGGGTTGACTTTCCCTGATTATGAAGATAAAGTTGTTAAACATTCACTTTACAGCATTGATTTTCATACTCTCTCAATGACTGTATCCCTACAATCAGAGAAAGGCCGCAACTTGCCTCCACATGAATCCGGGAGCCGATTCACTTGCCAGGTTTGCCACCCTGTTCAGCATCCAAATTTGCAGGATCCTCCACACTTTTCTTCTATCAATTTGCTCTCTTCTATGCATATTTCAAACCCGTTTAGGAATAACAAGGTTACAATCCACCCACAAGTTCCACCGTTCAAATACAGCAACTTCCTATTTATTTGGGAGTATTCATCGAAACGAATTGGTTAGTTGAAGTTGGTGACGCTTACGGTTTTGATTTTGGCTTTCATCGGAAAGTTAAGAAAACTAACAAATGGCCACTAAAATAATTCTATCAGGTTGTCCGGAAAATAATGTCACATGACATCCCACCGCGACAGAATGACCATAAAAAACAGCGAATGGGGTATCATTTGATAGAGCAAAGCAAGCTCTATAAGATAGGTTACAAACCTACGCGCGAAATCGTGCTCCACCTGAAGTTTGAATCCAAAATATGAAAAATTCCAGATACCCGAAAAATCGTATCTCCGTTCATAGACGTCTTATAGATCTCCAATTTGCACAGGCATGTACTCTCTACACTAGACATTCACCTGCATAGTTTGTAGTATTTTTCCTTGGCTACAGTACGAGAAATAAAAGGAGGTCAAAAGTGAGAATATGACGCGTTTTTCGGGTTTTTTGCAAACATTTGATTTTTCTCGAAAACTAGCGCTTGTCTAAAGCTGAAAATTCATGGTTATACTCCTAAAGGTTCATGCTACAGGATCACTCATGTGAGACAAGCTCCGGATTGTTTTGGCAAAAATGTGCCGAATTTCGTTTTCGCAATTTTCAGCCATGAAAAAACCGCGAAAGTGTGCATACGTGTGTCTCGCATAGTGAGTCCACGCGTGAGAAAGTTAGGGGTTCCCAGAACTTTTCTGAATAGAGATACGATTTTTTTTCGTTTTTTTAGATTTTTAGTGCCTTTTAAAATTTGGCTCCAACTCCACGCAAACAAACCGGCGCAAAGGCTCGAGTTTCACTTTGTAGAGCTTGTTTTGATCTATCGGTTGGTACCCCATTTACTTACTTTCGTGCTCACCCTGCCACGATTTTGCATGTTAAAATAAAAAGCGACATTATTTTCCGGACAGCCTAATAAATGTTTCCTGATCTCCTTTCAACATGGCCCTATGCTGTAAATACGGTTCTTCTTGGAAGGAGGTCAGGAAACATTTAGAATTATTTTAGTGGCCATTTGCTAGTTTTCTCAACTTCTCAAAGTCTTACTTCTTACTTGTTTAAAGCTCTTTTTCATCCATCATCATCAAACTCTGCGCCTCACGACATTCACTCATGTCTCCATCACATAAACACTAGGTCGTACTTACTGAGACGTCTTGCCTCGACTTATTTTCATCTCCTCAACAGAAAATCTTGACGAGGTGGAAGTGTAAGGGCGAAATGTACTTGCTGAAACCACGGCGGACGCTGAGCTGACCAGAAATCTGCTTGAACGCACAAGCGGACGATCGGTTCTCCACGCGATATATTACGTGGGTACTGGGTCGACTCCGCCCCGAGTCATATGTGCGCGATGTTGTGCCGATCGGCGGTTCTGCCACTGCTCATCACCCTGCCCATGTTCTCCGTTGCCCAACTTCCGGTCTGCAGCCGCGTCCAGGCCTGTGCGGCTCGCCTGAACATTTTCCCGCTAGTCGAAGAAGACTCGTCCGGTTGGGGCTCTGGCCTTGTACCGCTCTACGATGAAGCTTTCGAGTCCGTGACGTTCGACTATTCACAGACACCTGAGACATCCGAATTTGAGCTGTGCCAGTGCGCTAATAATGGCACTTGCGACACAGATGTGGACAGCAGGTAAAATTCGTACCAATTAGCACCTCAAGATAACCCTCAAAATAATTTGCCAATCAAGAACTTCGATGGTTTGCTACTCTTGTACAATAGCTAGTCCTAGCAGAAAGATGTGCTCTTCTAACTATAAATACTGGATGAAGCACGAAAAACACCATCATCTTGAAATACCCTACCTACCTCTCAAAATCTTCACATTTTCCTCCACATTTTTGCATATTCTCCCCAAATATCTTCAAAAATTACCTTACTCTCTCAAGATTTTCATGGTATAACCCTTTACTACTACGTCGAGATGGCCAAATTGAACCGCATATTTGAAAGCATTTGTGATCTGCCAATTTTAGTGGTTTGCAGTCCCAGACCTTTGAAATCGAATATGATTGTTCTAGTGAATTGACAAGAGGCAAACCAGCCTATTTCAGAACGTTGAATTTGGACGATACGGTACAGCTGACATTTTGCAATGATGTACATGAACAATTGCCAATGCAGTGTCGAGGACAAAGGGGACTTCCACGGATTATAGGAACACCACATCCATCAGGTTAGAAACTCAATCTTTTTGAAAGTGTCCTCCAAGAGGTAGTAATGGCCTCACAATCCTCGTTTAGTGAATTTTCAATCCTCAGATTTATTTGACACGTTATCGTAATAGCTACTGTCATTTTTGATTCATATAGTGCAATTTCCAGGCACACTGTATTTCTACATTGCTTTATGTCTTTGCGGAAATCGCTGCACTGCAGCTGGTACTGAATAGTTGCTAAACTTATCCGGCAGATTTAACTGCGCCTCTCAAGTAGAAATGACTGAACATTGTAGTTGTCCCAAATGCAGCAAACATTTGTTTCAGAAGTTTCGAAGAAGTGAAATAACTTTAGAGAAACCATCAAACTAACAAGATCTAATATATAGTGCTTGCCAAAATGGATTGAAAAGTTTTCTTCCCCCAGGCACTATTACTATTCATCGCGAGATTCTGTTTTACAACAGTCTCACTGATAAGTGGATGTTCCTTCATTCAGCTTTTTCTCATTGTAGTAGCTTGCAGAAAGATAAATCGGTAAACAGGCACCGGCAGTTTTTTGAATGATTCGCATTTATCATGTCTAGTGCAGCGGAATTTATCATTTTACATTTGTTACCAGGAAGTTTCCATGCTGCTTTCAAGAAATTTTTGAGCTGCTCTGAAGGAATTTTCATGTTGTCACCTACACTTGGTTCGTAATTAATAGTATTCTGGTGTACAAAATACAATTGCCTTGTCTTGAATCTCTTTCTGCTGTCCTTCTTCTGGCATGATCTGATCTTAAGTTTGGACCAAAAGCACAAATCATGTAAAGATTTTATGTTGCTCCTTAGCTGTCGGTATAAAAGATTTCTTCTTTGACTGTCGCTTGCATTCTAAGGCAAAGTTTCCTTACTTTGAGTATGTGTTGCATTTCTTTTGGGTTTTATATAAGACTAGTTGACTTTCCCGGTCCAGCCCGGGCCATGGTTCACCGCACTGTAACCCCCCCCCCCCCCCCACCCCACTTCTTATATGTTGTGGATGACTCACCCTGGGACGCGCTTCGAAACCCATCCTCGTGATCCTGAGGTGAAAATGAGCTTCACCGCCCTCCTTTACATGACCATGGTAAAATGCTTTATTAAACATGATAAGCCTTCAATTCCTTAGGAAAACGTAAACAAATCAATAAATCGATAGAACGGCCCAACGAATCGCTACAAAAAGTAGCCTATCATCTGCGCGGGGGTCGAAAACATATGTGTGCAAAGTTTCAGCTGAATCGGTTGAGCGGTGCGCGTTTCTATAACGCACATACCCTCCAAACTGACAATTTTTGAGTTTTATATACATATAGATAATTGAGTTCAGTAAGTTGTAATCTTTATCTTTACTAAGGTCTCACTCTTTGCAAAGCTTTCAGTAAACTGCTCAAAGTCCATGTGATTGCCTGTCTAAGCTCCAAAATGACCTTACACCTGTTCTACATATACGCTCCTCGTCGGCTCCCCAATGCTGTTACATCATTTGGAATGCTGCGTTGATCATTAAGCTGCTCCTCTTGGACAACTGCTACTACCCCAGCATCGATTGATATAAAGAACAAGCGAACTTGAATTCCGATAAGGACTCGTGATCGAATAACTTATTTTGCAGACTCTAGGTTTCCTTGTCTCATCGTCATTCGTTTTCTCCTAACTTGATACTCGCGAAAAATCTTATTGTTTCTCCAAATTCTGCACGTGACATGCTATTATTTTTACAATGTTGAAGGCTTCTATAAAGAGACTATCTTTGCAGGTGAGACGGTGTCAGCAGTGACTTCAACAGCGATTTTCTGCACATGTCCATCCGGATACGAGCGGCTACGGCCAGAATATTGGGGAGGAGCGGAAATTTCCATTTCTTACAAATGCAAATGAACATAGGTTTATTATATAAATCAGGCGATATATTGGAACCTTGCCTGTTTGTCTGCAAACTGGTGCTTCGTATTTTTCTCGTTGTTATGGTTGTTATGTGCAATGCCGTGAACTATTGCTAATACATAAATAAGATGATTTTTTTTCAAAATATGTAACGAGAAACCAGTGATAGTTTCAATAACTAAGATGCGTTGATTGTCTCTGCAGAAAAATATTCTAAATGTTATTGAGATTACTTTCTTAGCAAAGGCACTGCAAATGGCAAAAAATGTCTGTTTCTCGGCATTAAAGCTGAGCTCCTTAAGAAAGAACTCGTTTGTTTGTCTCAGGGAAATCCTTGATCTGAAGCCAACTTGGCGCTCGTTGCTTGCAATGACATACAAGTTTTTGAATTTCAACCGCAAGTATTCTGGAGATTGAATGATTATATTTTATGCTGTGGTAATTTCTTGTGGGGCTCCAGCATCTCTTGAACGTTTTGACGTTGTGAAACTTTCTACGGCTACCATTTTTCTCCCAGAAAAGGAGGATACGAATTTTTCATATGAGAAGAGATGAGCTATTTAAACCTCATGGCTTCTTTTTTTTTCAAACGAGAAATCTTCTATTTGGTAAGTCAACAGATATATAAGTATATGCTTCAGAAATTAAAATTTAAAAAGTTGTTTCTATTCAACAAGTTTTTTGATACTACACGCATGAGTCATCTCGAAATTGTAATGTTATAATCGGAGTACATTTGCTCGAGACGCTCATTCATTTTTCATTTCTCGCAAGAGACAACACAGCTGTCAGAATAGACACAGCTCAGTGCAAGCATTGGGGGTAACAAGGATTAACGGAATATCATGAAGAGAGGATTGAGAAAAGTTGCTTCCCGAAAGTAGGATTGAAATGGTGGCACCAAACTGAATTATATTGCAATACAGAAATCTTTATTATAAGCATTGCATGAGCCTCAGTACCTTTGGAAAGAGTTGGAGTTCTTCTAATTATCTATCGATGTTACAGCTGTGACTAAGACCGCAATACTCGACTTCCTCTCAGTTGAATCAATCCATCGCAAGTTTATGAAGTTGAGTACAGTCGAATCATTTTACGTGGTCATGTGTGCATTGCACACAAATAGTTCATTTATAGAATCGTGACGACGGATTTTACTGCGCACTTTGCACCCAAAGGAGTATAAAACGCTCATACAAAAAGGCATCACCTCAACGTTTAGCTCAGTCACTTTCAATGTCTAAATATTATCATGCCTAAGCAAAAACTAGCGATGAAAACCAAGAAAATGTGATTTTTGGAAGTGCGTGCGTGTCGCATGGTCGCGCCATCGTCACGATTTCTCAATTGCCCTATAGCTCATCTTTGGCGTCTCATTCTCGATTTGCAATGGCAAATCTCAATCGCTTACATCACTTTGGTAATTAGACTTGAAGGAATGGAAACATTAATAGCATCAAAAGCACTCACTGGGGTTGTCTGCAACAAGAATCCAAGATGAGGACGCAAAGGGTGGGCAGTATGTGCAATGACACATATGATCATATGAAATGATTCCTGTAGTGAGATATTATTAGGCTGTTCACCTAAGTTTTGCAACTGAGCCCGTAACTTCTCGCCTTTTGATATTGGCGCGCTCAAATTTTGATATTGTTTAGACTGCCGTGTGAGCTATAGACTGACACAAGCTGCTCGCTTTCTGACGACAAAATAGAAAAAATCCGAGAGTTTTTCGAAAACTGGTGAACTCCGAAGATTTATGGGGTTTCAAGTGGAAACGAAGCCGTTCTCAACCTAGATCATGCATAACAATCCGAAAGTGTGTTAAATTGCTGCTAGGGATTGACTCATCTAGAGCAGTAAGAAAGAAATGGAATTCGAGGTCAACTCAAGATTTGGCGCCCTCATAAAGTTGAACGAGCCGCGGTACGCAAAGCTGCTTAGGGACAAGCGTCAATCACTAGGAGTCGAAGTCTCAGAATTCGCCGAAACTTTGCATGATGGGGTTATTTGCCCTGCCGAATATGAAAATCATATTCATTCAACAAATTAACGCCTCTTTTCTTGTTTAGCGTGAGACCTCATACCGTGAACCTACCGTAACCTTGCAAAAAGCTCCTACCATGCAAAACTAATATCGTTTTCGTAATCAGCATGTCAGAGGACCCATCTACGCAAAGTTTCAGCCAATTTTGTAATAATATGTGATTTTTTCCCCTCATACCATATACCTACCGTAACCCGCCTGCGACGTCAGAATTTTGCAGAGCTGCGGCTTGTAGCTTACCTCACGATCTACATGATGGTAAAATTTGAGTCCGTCCTGGCAAAGTGTGAGAAGTTATAAAAGTACTTGCAAAACTTAGTGAACAGCCTAATCTTCGTTTCACAGAGGGTTTCTCCCTCTGGACAGGCTTGGCAGTTTGCGATTGCGGTGACTACCTTTGTTGTACTGTATACTATACTTGAGAAAGTCGAAAATTTTTTCGAATATTCGAACATCAAGTAATATTCGAAAATCGAAATCGAATATTCGACTATCAAGTAATATTAATCGACTTTCGGATAATATTCGAATACCGAATTTTATTCGAAAGCCGATAGATATTCGACTTCCAAATAACATTCGAAAGTCGATATCATTCGATTTTCGAATATTATTCAATCCTCGAATATTATTCGAAGATTGAAGATACAGTTTATGATGAGGACGGCTTAGTGTTACATCAAGAGACTTGAGGACCTAAAAGCCTACTTCTATGTATGACGGTTCTGAAGAAACTTTTACGAATCTGAAGAAGATTACCATTTCAAATCGTGGCGTCGCAGAAGTGAGATCGAGAATTATTGCGGCATAGAAAGACGGCTCATCTTGCATACTGTTTAGGGTTGCACGGGGAGCATTCACAAATGTATACCTTCCTTTGAGTATTGTATGTTGATGCAGAGCAAATCCCAAAACTATGTGGGCACTATTTGATTATACAGGGTGTCTTAAAAAGATGTGCATACTGTTTGACCGTTAATAACTCTCTTGCTTTCTTGTCTTTTGCCGAGCTTGAGGGTCTGTTCTCTAGAGCGAGGTTCAACTTAGATTTACAGTATGGAGTGAATTATTAGCCGCTCTTCATTACTGTGGGATTATGGTAGGAACTTCGAGGAGGATTTCAAGCCATTGAAGCGGTATTTTGCCTCAAAAAAAAAAGAGCCAAACAGGCCATAAACCCTTGGACTGGGTGAATCGGAGAGCCGCTGATTCTAAATATGAAAATTGCATACTGGTAGTGCTTCTTTCATGACTTATTTCAGATTTGGGGTAACAAGTAATTTTCCAGTGTTCGTCAGAAATGTGAACACGCCATCAAGAAAGCTCGAGAAATTGGTGGAAAGCTATGTAGTAAAAGCAGCACGCCTCAAAACCTCGCTACACAAATTTTCAGATTTCTTTTTGAAATTATTTCATCAAAAGGCCTATCCCCCAGTGACGCTATACGCTGAAATTTCATACCGTAATGCTACAGTAATGAAAAGTGATTGGTGATTCGCTCCATACTGTAAATCTAACATTGAACCTCGCTCTACATATATAATGGTACCTGGGAGACGGCCCTTCTGAACCGCTAGCATTAGCAATCTAATTATTGCGTGCCTCTGATTGGTCGGTGCTGCCGCCGCTTGGGTAGGCGAGAAGTATGCTGTCGTTAGAGACGTCTGAATTGGACTGCAAGCATCCTCATGATAAAAAGAATCAAACAAGATTTTCCCATGAAACTCGAAAATGTTTTATGTGGGCGGCTTAGGTAAATTCTTCAGCTTACAGGTGCAGACTTCGGTGTTTTGAAAACTGGGAAGGGCGAAGAAATCACGGAATGGCCTAAAAAACATGCAACCTTTCCAATTTTTCGTCTTCATAATTCAACATCCTCACTATCATTATTCGTGTGCCTCACTTGCCTTGGAATGTTCAGAAATATTTGAAAACTCTGCTAGATTATAAGAAAGGCGAAGTAATTAACGCCGCTCGGGCAGAGTAATTAGCGCTGGGACGGAGCGGTTCAGAAGGGCATACACCCTGGTACCTCAAGCTCGGCAAAAGATATGAAAGCAAGAGAGTCATTAACGATCATACACTCTGTAGTTTGCCTCCCGAAATTAGTTACCATTACGTAGAGCTGGCCTCAGCTTAGATCTACTATGGAGCAAACTGTCGATCGCTCTTCACTGTTGCACGATTACCGCAGGAGAATTGGAGAGGGTTCTGAGACATTCAGGGACATATTTTGCTAGAAAAAGATGCCAAGACTAAACACTCTTATATCAGGGCCCGGCACGAGGTCGGCAAATGACAAGCTGGAAATCGTTTTGGGGCCAAAAAGCAAAGGGGAAATCGTTTTTGCGGGGTCCGGGGCGGAGCCCCGGAAAAAAATTGGTAGTTCATGCTCGCTACTTATCTTGACATGTTATGTGCCTCAACAGGCGAACACTGGAGTTCGCGCGCGTCAAACCGCGCCGTCGCTAATTGCCGCACGCGCGACGTCGCCCAAGCGATGCTATTTGTAACAGCATGCATGACTAGTTCTCAATGTATGTGTAACGATATGGCACCAAATTTTGTATGCGAACGGTGAGAGGCTAGTGGAAACATAGTATGAAAAATTATGAAAAACTTATGTGAACGGAACGAGTAATTAGCATTTTGTCCGAGAATTTCGCAAAACTGGTAAATGAATATGTGAATTCAAACGGCTCGTTTGGAACGCGCAGATGAACGATATGGCATGAAACTTGGTAAGTACATGCACACGGACTTGCAGGGCTTAACTGAGGAGTTTCATTGAAAAATTATGTGACTGAAGGTTGTGGCAAACTTTTTTCTGAAAATTTTGCGCTACCAAAGAAATGGAAAAATGGCTCGTTTGCAACGCAGAGGTAACGAAATCGCGCGGGATTCGGTGTGTGTATGCGCAGTAGGACTAAGTAACTAAGTATGAAATATTATGAAAAACTTATGTGAATGAAAAGTTTCCTTAACTAATTTCGAAATTAGGTCGGCATTTGCCGACCTAATTCCCACCTGAGGTCGGCAAAACTCTCACTTCACATAATTTTTTCAAAATTTTTACATAAATCT